CCCCTTCCCCCCGCTACCACTTCTGCTTTACCCCTCGTCTCTCTCTCTCTCTCTGTCTTGTTTGTTGCTTTTTGTTTTTTTGTTTGTCTCCCTCTCTCTCTCTCTCCCTCGCATCCCTCCGCTCGCGCTCCTCGCTCACCCTCCTCCGACCCTCTCCCCCTCGTCGTTCGCCCGCTCCTCTCCCGTTCGTCCTGCCTTCATCCATCCCGCTTCCAGCACGCCCCTTCCTCGTCTCTCCCGCCTTTTCTCCCTGCCTCTGCCTCTGTCCTCCTTTCATCTTTCCTACCCCCCCCTCGCTCCTCCTATCCTATCCTCCCCCCTCCCCCTACTTTTCATCTTTCCTATCCTCCCTTCCATCCTCGCTCCTTTCACCCCTCGCCTCAATGTCTGTTTATCTCTGCCCTATCCCCTGGCCCTCGATTGGAAACGGAAGCGCCTGAAGCACGATGAATGCATCGTACAAGAACAAGGCGTTGAACAAACATATTAACGTCAAGAACGAGAAGAACCTGCCGCGGATGAACCTGCGGCACGACATGGCCATATTGGACTCGTACCTCCAAGCGGGTCGGAAGCACATCTTATCCAGGCAAATCCGCCGACCCTGTCGGCGTGTGTGAGGGGCTTTTCCGTTCGAGCCGTCATCTCCGTCATTCTTTGTACTCGTCGTCTCTGTCCTTCCCTTTCCCTGGGAGACCTCCTCCCCTGGGCTCCAGCCAAGCCGACCTTGAGCAACCTCGTAATTGAGTCGAAGGGAAGCCCCTTCCCTTTGATCCCTCCCCCGCCGGGAGGGGGGGGGGGGTAGCGACCCCCCCCCCCGGGTCAGATACGACGCCCCCCCCTGGGACTCCTCTTCCCCTGGGCTCCAGCCAAGCCGACCTTGAGCAACCTCGTAATTGAGTCGAAGGGAAGCCCCTTCCCTTTGATCCCTCCCCCGCCGGGAGGGGGGGGGGGGTAGCGACCCCCCCCCCGGGTCAGATACGACGCCCCCCCCTGGGACTCCTCTTCCCCTGGGCTCCAGCCAAGCCGACCTTGAGCAACCTCGTAATTGAGTCGAAGGGAAGCCCCTTCCCTTTATCCCTCCCCCGCCGGGAGGGGGGGGGGGGTAGCGACCCCCCCCCGGGTCAGATACGACGCCCCCCCCTGGGACTCCTCTTCCCCTGGGCTCCAGCCAAGCCGACCTTGAGCAACCTCGTAATTGAGTCGAAGGGAAGCCCCTTCCCTTTGATCCCTCCCCCGCCGGGAGGGGGGGGGGGGTAGCGACCCCCCCCCCGGGTCAGATACGACGCCCCCCCCTGGGACTCCTCTTCCCCTGGGCTCCAGCCAAGCCGACCTTGAGCAACCTCGTAATTGAGTCGAAGGGAAGCCCCTTCCCTTTCATTCCTCCCCCGCCGGGAGGGGGGGGGGGTAGCGGGGGGGGTAGCGACCCCCCCCCGAGTCAGATACGACGCCCCCCCCCCGTACCGACCTTGAGCAACGTCGTCATTGAGTCGAAGGGAAGCCCCTTCCCTTTCCCTTCCCCGACGGGGGGGGGAGAGGAGGTCCCGGGGGGGGTCCCGGGGGAGTCCCGGGGGAGTCCCGGGTCAGATACGACACCTCCCTCCCCCACCTTCTCGTCCTTCTCCCCGTTCCCCCAAACCATCCCACAGCCCGTGCCTCTTGCTGCGCATTGCGAACAGGGTCGGCGGCACCGGCCGTCAGGCCTTCGCAATATTTGGCACATCTGACGGTGCTGTCTTCGGCAAACATGGACACACGTGGCACCCTGTCCAGCACCCAGCTGGCCCATGCGATCGGTACAAAGAGCACGGCGCGAACGCGCCGAAACCCGAAGCAAACATCCCAAGCTTTGGCTCTGCACATGATTGTGTCTTTCCTCGAACAGACTAAACACCCCAGAATTCAAGACGCCCACCGCGCGAGCAGAACCTAACGCCGCGGCTGGCCATGCCGCCCAGCTGAAGGAACGGGGAGGAGAGGAGGAGAGGGACGGTACGGGTCAGGAGGGGGAGGGCAGGCGATAGGAGGGGAATGGAACATTGGAGGATGCGGAGGGGAAGGGAAGAAGAGAAGAATGCCGGGGAGGATCCGATCCGAAAGCTGTCCGATAGCTTCGAGTCTGCCTTGCTTCGCCGTCGCTATCTGTGCAAGCCGTTCAAGGCGCGGCGGTTCATCCTGGCCACGGCCGCAGGGGATTTGCACCATCGCACGCTGGTCCACCCAGAACTTTGGGAACCACATCCCCGCAGGCACGTCACATTTGGCACATGCACCATCACGAGGGGCCTCGGGTTTGGTCAGCATCTCACGCCATCTAAACATGGACGAATTGGCCATACGCTGCATCGCCGTGCACGCAGCGACCGCAGTGTGGGCGCGGTGAGCCAACTCGCGAGGCCATGTAGGTCCTAAGAAGGGAACCTGACCGTCTACTCGCTGTCTGCCAAGCGCTGGTCAACCATCATGCAGCTGGAGGCGGTGACGACACTCATGCTATGTAGCCTGGCCTAGATGGAAGCTCGTGCCTGGCTCAACTGCTCCTGCTGCACTATAATCCAAAACTACACCGCTGGAATTACCGTTACCATGAACTATCGGCACCTTTGCCTAAACAGCTTCCGAAGTAGCACATCAGCAGAACGATCTGGAGCACGGCCGACTCGTTCACCAAGCTCCCAGTCATGCTTGTGCATCGCGCGGAAGTGTGACAGCAATTGCACATTGTCATGTTCTCGACGAACTGCTGTGCCCATGTCATCAGCACAGATCGTGAGGGCACCTCGAGGTGAGCAGGCCGTCGTCGATCAGGCTGTCGACACGCCAGGCGCGCAGGACGATGCCTCCAGCGATGCCGGTCGCTGGCTCGGCTCCTGGCAAGACGGACCAAGCAAGCGACCCCAGTACGGACGGAATGAAACAGCAGCCGGCGGTGCGTGTGGCGCTCGCACCCCCGAACATGGGCCGTGGCAAGGGCAGGCTGCTCGGCTGCCGACAGGGCGGGCCAACGGCGGCCTCGGTCGCTTCCCGGTAATGCCGCGCGGCAATCTCGTGTGGAAGCTAGGGGCATTGCCCGTCAGTGCGGTCGCTCCGCGGCACCGCCCGAGGAGAAGAGGCAGGGGACAGCAGCTCGTCCAGAAGAGAGGCGCAGCGCAGCCAAGACAGGGGGCAAGCCTGCATGCTGGACACACTAAGCGAGCAGCTGGGGGGCAGGCCAAGCCGTGATCCCCCTGGCAAGCGCAGCGGCGCGACCTCCAGGGACGTGCCAGTCATGTCCCGCATGGCCCCCGCCATTCTACTTTGGCCAGGGCTGAACCTGTGACGGCGGCTTCGTGGTGACCACGTCGTGGCGTTAGCATAGGTGTGCCATGCCACCCCGCTCACCCTGCTCCTGCTGCTCCTGGTCCTTCCCCTCGCCCCGCTGTGGGGACAGGGCCGGAGCGAGGACTCAGAGGCGCTCCGCTGCGCAGCTGACTCACCATCTCCAAAGGCCTCCAAAGGCGATCGGCCGCCTCCAAAGGCGATCGGCGATCTTGGGTGCCGCCTCCAAAGGCTTCGGATCTGTCGATCTTGGGTGCGTCAGAGCTGTCGAAGCCGCCTCCGAAGGCGATCGGAGATCTTGGGCGACCCGGGGCACCAGTCCCGGGCTGTCCACCTGCCCGGCTCGGTCGCCCTCTGGAGGTGCACGATGCTCATGCTCGTCTGGGCGGAGTCTTTTTTTTATTATCTCTCTCTCTCTCTCTTTCCCTCCCTTTTTTTTGTTCTCTCTCTCTCTCTCTCTCCCCTTCTCCTCACTCTCTCTTTTCTCTCTCCCTCCCCTTATCTCCCCCCTTTTTAATTATCTCTCTCTCTCTCTTTCTCTCTCCCTGCCTTTTTTTTGTTCTCTCTCTCTCTCTCTCTCTCCCCTTCTCCTCCCTTACATCCACAGGGCGAGGCGAGCATTTTTCCTCGTGGGCCTGGAGATGACGCCTTCAGCCCTTGCGCCAGCGCGCATGAAATAAAGCTCGGCAGATCAAATTAAATTCGTGCGGGCCCACATTTGGTTTGGAATTGTGTTCCGGTGGGTCAAAACTCCCTGTGCGCGGATCCGATTCCGGATGTTGTGGAAATGATTTCAGCCCTGTTTTGTTCACACGGGTCCGAATTATACGCTGTTTTGAACTTGTGCTGCTAAATTCACGCAGGCGACGGACGGAAATCGGATCCGCGGCATCCAAGCCAGCCGCTGTTGAAATTCTACGGGGGGGAGGGGGTTTGGACACGAACTGTCACAGACAAATCGCGCTTGGTTTCACGGGCCCCGTCAACCCTCCCCGCACGAGGCTCGCACCAAACATGAACACATCTCTCCTCACCCCCAACTGCTGCAAGCATCTTGCCCAGACGCTGTGCGCCTGGCGGCGCCGATGCTCGCTCGCCAGCTGGTGGTTGTCTCCAATGGCACCTCAAGAGGAACCTCGTTCGTCCTGTGTAATAGCATTCAAAAGTTTGTTGTCCAGGCAGGGTCGGCAGCCGCCAGGCGCTCACGCGCACGAAGGGTGAGTTCGCCCGAGAGGGGGGCGACGAGCGGGATGGCGAAGCACTTGGCAGGCTTGATTTGCAGGCCCGCCAGCGCCGTCGCCGCGCGGAAGACGCGCGCCAAGGTCGCGAGCCCGCGGCTGGCCATCGCCGTGGCGCCGAGGTCGTCGGCGCGCCATTTCGAAGTTCCTCGGCGCTTCAGGCCCGGGTGGAGCTCCATGTCCCTGTCGAGAGAGTGGGTCGCGACAACGAAGATCGCGCCTGTGGCGGGGTCGCTCTGGAGGGCGCAAGGGCGCATCGCATGAATCACCGAGGGGGGAAGGGGGGGGGGGGGGGGGCGAAGCAGCCAGGGTCGCGACGCCGTCGTAGTTGACCCGCAGCGCGCCCTGGGGCCCGCGCGGCGTCTAAATGGCACGCGGCGCGGAGAAGAGCCAGCCGTGCCCGACGCTCGGGAAGGCCTGGCCGCGGTCGAAGGAAAAGAGGAAGAGGAAGTCGCCGTCGGTCACCGCCATGGACGCGATGTGCGCCTGCGCATCGAGCTCCGCGATGTAGTTGCAGAAGTTGCGGCCTCGGAGGAAGCCGCGCCGCGCGTCGACGCAGCGCCCTCTTCATGCGCGCGTCCACGTGAACGCTTTCCTGGAGGAGCTCTCCAGCGCCAGCGGCCTGGTCTCTCCAGCGCGGCGGAAGACCTCCTGTGGGTCGTCGTCGCAGGGGCCCTTGGCCCGGGAGACGCCCGCGGAAAAGCTTTAGTCCTTCCGCGTAGAGAGGCCATCCAGCTGCCACTCTATCGCGGCCGCCAAGGTCTGGGCCCCGCAGGGAGAGGCGAGCCAGGCCTTGGGGCCCGACCCGTCTGGGCCAGGCGCCGCAGCGCGCGCCCCGCGGATCCGAAGCCGATGGCGCTCGCGGGCGGGGGCGGCAGGGAGACCCCGTCCACGCCCTGGATGCCGCAGCGCTGCAGGTGGCACACCTGAACCTCATGCTTGCGCGTCGCGAGACGCGGCGGCGCGCGGTCCGGCGGCGCGAGGATCCCACCCCTGAGAGCCACGGGCAGCGCCTGGGGCTGCTCGCGGAGCCTGGCGTCGGCGAGCTGCTGCCGCGACCGCGCGCCGAAGACGCCGCGCCAGTAGTCCGCCAGGGCCCGCTGGGCGTCCGCCTCCGCCCCGATGGCGGAGCCGCCGGGGGGTCCGATGCCGCCCGGGAAAGGCCGAGCCGAGGACGGCGCCCAGCGGGCCGCGCGACGGCGGAGCGCCCGCTGCTGCCGAACGAGGGCCGCCTTGCTGCGTCGCAGCTGCGCCTGCGCCTCGCTGCGCTGCGCCAACTGGTGGCGGCGCGAGAACTCCTCAGGCTGACGCAGATGCGCCCTCCGTCCTCCAGGTCCAGGAGCAGGGCGGATCTCGATCATGCAGTGCATGGTGCGTCCACGTGGGGTTGCGGAGGAGGGCCTCGGCAAGCTCGAGGTCTCGCCGCCACGCGGCACGCCCGAGTTGCCGCCGGATCAGAACTGTCGGCGCCATCTGCCCAAGTTCCCCCCCGTGGGCCGCGTCTCTGGCGGCGGCGGCGGCAATCTGGACGGGCCCTGTGCAGCGGCGGGCGCGGTCGGGCGGAGACAGAACCTGGGGGGGGGACCTGGGTCTCGCGCGCGGCGACCATCTCAGCGAACTTCGGGTTGTCGGCGACGAAGCTGGGGATCGGGTGGATCACGCTAGTGGTGGGTCGTCGCATGGGCGGCCTGGGGGTCCAGGGGAGCGAGAACAGCGCGTGGTCCGAGATGTCCTGTAGGTGAAACCCATGCGGTTCTCCGCGTCCTTGGCCGTGTTGGTGCGTCTGGGCGATCGCCCATCGAGGGGCCCCACGTCTTGTCGATCGCCGCGGCTATCTGACGACCAGGGCGCTAGCGCGAGGGTTCGCTTGGAACCATCTCCGTCGCGGCCGCGAGCGCGCGATTCCAAGCCCTGCCCCGAGGGTGGAGGGCGGCCCGCGGGTCGCCTCCCAAGACGAGAGGGCCCTCCACCTCCGCGTTCTCGCCGTAGTGGAAGTCACCCGAGACAATGACGAAGTGCCGCAACGGCACCATCGCCACGGCGTGGAGGTCGCGCTGGATGGCTGCAGCCGCGGCCGACGCCGGCTCGCGCGAGGGGTTGTGGTCGTCGATGTTCCAGCGCGCCGCTGCGTAGCCTACGCGCTCGCCCGACGCGGCGGCGGCCGCGGCGCGCTGCGCCCTCGCCTCCGCGAAGACCGACTGGGAGAAGAAGGGGCCGCCGCGCCCCCTGAAGGGGGAGATGGCGGCGGCGCCGCCGAGAGACAAGTTGGCGCTGCAGCCGAAACTGGTGAACATCTGGCATTCTAGACTAGCGAGATCAATCAGCATCTGCAAGCGCACGACCGACCCGTGGACCTCCTGCATGCCGGTCACAGCCGCGGCGCGGAGCGCAGATTTGAGGCGGTCGCTCTTGCGCGACGCCACGTCCGCCCTGCGACGACAGAATGCCTTCGCATTCTTCGCGGCGAACGCGGGCCCCATGCTGGACGGGGCGGCGAAGAGCCTTGCGAAGGCGCTGAAGAAACCAACCTTCAAGCTGCGGCGCCAGCACTGCCTCCGCTGTCGGTTCGAGGCCCCCGCGTCGCAGGCCGATGGCACGCGGCGCGGCGGGCGACCGCGCGACCTGCGGGGCGGCGGCGGGGCCGGCGACCGAGACGCGGAGGAAGGCCTTCCTGGGGGGGGGAAACAAACCTACCTCGCTTTTGACCACCCTCGCTTCCAAGAGATACCAAACGATGCCAAATTGCAGCCTGTACTGGTTAGGCCGCTTGACGAGGAGGCGCGTGGTATGGCTTGGTTTTGCCTGGAAGCGAAAGCGGGGTAGGTAATTCACGCTCTGACTTCCACGAGGACGTGATTGCGTGGCCCTGCTTGTCGATGAAGATGCGCTTGGGTGGCTCGACCAGGCGCCCCAGCGCCATGACCAGCCTCCTGAGGAAAGGCTCGTGGGCAACCTGCGTGCGGTTCTGGTCGGCTGATACGTGGATGTCGACGGCGTGGCCAGCGGGCGCGGCGGGATCCGGCCTGCGACATTCCCCGCGACCCAAGCGCGTGCAGCCCGGCATCTTGTCGGCGCGTCGGGCACCCACCTCAGGGGGGCCCTTGAAGCGGAGGGCGCAGCGCTCGCCGGGGGGCTCCACCTCGACCGCGAAGGCGTCGTCCTGCAGGCCTGCGTCGGAGAGGACTGGAGCGATGGACTGCGTGAGGGGGCCGCCTGGAGGAGCGCCTCCTCGCATCGGAGGACGACCGCCGCCAGGCCTGGGGCCTGTCCCAGTCTGGGTCAGCGGGCGCGGGGAGCAGCTCCGTCTTGACCAGGAGGCCCGTCTCCTCGCGGAGCTGCGCGATGTCGGCGCGCAACTGCCGTTGCAACTGCTGATGCTGCTGCTCGACGCCATGCGCTCGGACCTCGACGGCGCCGACCCTGGTCTCCATGATGCCCTGGATCTGAACGAGGCCCGACGAGAGCGTGGCGTCGACGCTGGATACCACGGCACTGGCGACGGCGGTGGCGATGGCAGCATGCGCCTGCCGGAGCATGGCGGCCTGCGAGCCAGCGCCTGCAGGTGCCCCTTCTCCGCCTCCAGCGCCGAGGTCAGCGGCGGCAGGTGGCGCCCCAGGGCGTCCGAAGGGCTGGGGCAGGCGCAGCGTGTCGCGCGTCGTGGCCAGCGGGTGCGCGCGCGGGCCGGTGCCCACGCGCGGGGCCCCGCGGGGCGCCGCCGCCTTCGAGGTAGGCCCGCCGCGGGTCGCCACCAGCAGCGGCTGCGGGGGGCTCGCCTCCACCGCGGTGGTGGGGGCGCCTGCCGCGCCGCCAGGCGTGGCGCACCCACCCGCTAAAGGCGGAGGGGCTCGCTGCTCCTGCGACGGGAACGTGGGGGGCAGGTCGAGGGCCAGGCCGTCGCGCTCCCTCTGGAAGGCGGCATCCGCGGCGCGCTGGCGGAGCTCCGACTCCGAGCGTGAGAAGTTGTTGGCCCCCCGACGTGCGCGCTGGCCGCTCTCCAGCAAGCGTTGGAGGCGGCCACGGCGGTCATCTTGATGCACCTGAACCTGGGCGCGGCGTCCCGAGCCTCGCGAGCAGTTTGAGCGGCGCCTGCTCTCCGACAAGCTGGTCCGCTTGGAGCTGCAGCTGCGCTGGCTGCCGTGGGAGTCCATGCGGCGCTGCTCGGGGTGCCCCTCAGCGCCGCGGCTCCGAGCGCCAGCTGCCTCGGCCATGACGTTCCTCTCTGGAGAAGCGTGTCGGGAAACAGCGGCTCACCCGCGGGCGCGGGAGGCGGCGGCGCCTGGGGCAGACCAAGGGCCACGAGAGGGATCGTGGTCTGGCCGCGGACTAGCGGTATCCCTGCTCTGCCACAGGCAAGAAACATCTTGAGCCAAAATGGCTACGGCGGAAGAGGAGGAGGAGGAGGAGGAGGACGAAAAGACAGGAGGATGGCTGATGAAGGACCCTTTTTCCAATGAATCCGAGGCGCCGCAGCAGAGTTCTTGCACGGCTTCCAGGCCCCTGCTCCTCCTCCTCCTCATCCAGAGCTGCTCTCCCTTCCTCCTGCTGCTCCTGCTCCTGCTGCTCCTCCTCCCCCGGCTACCACCGGTGGACACTGGGGGGATTGGGAGCAGGAGGGGGGTGAGAGGGAGAGGGAGTGACTGAGGACGGGCGATCGGGTAGAGGGGGAGGAGGGGGCAGCAGTGGGAGGAGGGAGGGAGGAGTGGGGGGGAGAAGGGGGTGGCGAGTGGGAGGGAGAAGGGAGCAGGGTGACAGGCGGATCGGGACAGGGCAGGGGCAGAGTGGGAGAGGAGGTTGGGCGGAGGAGGGGGCAATGAGTGAGGCGGAGGTGGTATGAAAGGGGAGGGGCCGGGGAGGGTGGCCCTGGCTTGTCAGCGATGCGCCGAACCCGGTCGATCCGAACAACGAAATCGGCAGGCATCGGCTGAGCATCGGCAGTGACATCGAATCCACCGTCCGCCTTCCCACCTCCGCTTCCCTACAGGGGAACCTTGGGGGAGGGACACGGAGGGAGACGGGGGGAGGGGGGGGAGAGCTCCGAACAGAACTGCCACGGCAGCCAGCGCCTAGCTCAGCTCAGACCCCTAAGAATCCGACGTAATGAACTCCTCGGGAGCGGCCAAGAGGGGGGTGTCCAAGAGGGGGAGGTGCAAATCATGACTGGCGGCATGTGCGCGGCCCAGCGGGGGGGCCAGGGACGTAATGAAATAAGAAGAAGCGCCATGAAATCTGGTGAAATATCATGACCCCCGCCATGATATCCCCCCCCCTAGTCATCACCCCCCTCTTTGCCGCCCCCGAACTCCGTGCAACATCATCAAACAATTTCGACTGGGGAGCCCTAGACCCCATCCTTCTGCGGCATGTTCCGAAGCGGATCGATCCGCGAGGGCCCTGGAACCCGAATCAAGACAAAATCAACCCTCGCCATCGCTCGGACGTCCATTCCCTGTGTTTGTTTCGGTTTCGTGCGTGGTCTTTTCGCCAAAAGATCAAGGATGCTACTCGATGGTTCTCGCCGAGAAACATGACCGATCCACGAACCCGGAAAGGAAAATAGAATTGTAACACATGGCAGCGTTTTCAAAGACACCTGATTGGGTGACGGGCAAATGCAATGCTGAATGTATCGATCTTGATGTACCGTGCCGAGGGCTGTGCTGTGCTGCGCCTTGCTGAATTGCGATGTGCCATGGCGGGATTGTGCTCTATAGCCTCGTGGATCGAGTCCTCCTTTGCATCCGAGTCCTGACCGAACTGATCTGGATCTTAAGCTCGAGCTGCCTGAACACATAGTAGCTGCCCCAGAGCTAATGGACAGGGGAACATGCCAGGAGGACGCGCCGCGAAACGTCCCAAGGGATGCGCCAGGCGACGTGCCAGGGGACGTGCCATGGGGTCGCACCGCGGGACGTGCCAAGGGGACGCGCTACGGAACGTGCCAATGGATGTGCCACGGGATGTGCCAGGGGACGCGCCACGCGACGTGCCAGGGGGACTCGCCAAGGGACGCCCCACGGAACGTGCCAAGGAACGTGCCAAATTGCAATGCTGAGTGTATCGATCTTGATGTACCGTGCCGAGGGCTGTGCTGTGCTGCGCCGTGCTGAATTGCGATGTGCCATGGCGCGATTGTGCTCTATAGCCTCGTGGATCGAGTCCTCCTTTGCATCCGAGTCCTGACCGAACTGATCTGGATCTTAAGCTCGAGCTGCCTGAACACATAGTAGCTGCCCCAGAGCTAATGGACAGGGGACCATGCCAGGAGGACGCGACGCGGAACGTCTCAAGGGACGCGCCAAGCGACGTGCCAAGGGACGTGCCATGGGAACGCACCGCGGGACGTGCCAAGGGGACGCGCTACGGAACGTGCCAATGGATGCGCCACGGGATGTGCCAAGGGACGCGCCACGCGACGTGCCAGGGGGACTCGCCAAGGGACGCTCCACGGAACGTGCCAAGCGAGCGTGACGTGAATCCTCGGAATTCCTGCGAGCGGGACTTGAAAACAAGCATTTCGCCTGAGACATCCTCTGAATTCTGGCCACCCACGAGGCCCCCGCTCGAGACATCCTCCAATTTTGCAAAGCCAGCGTTTCGCTCGAGACATCCTCAACAAATTATGAACAACAAGCGTTTCGCTCGAGACATCCTGTCAAAATCCAAAGAAATCGTCGCCAAACAAACGAATTTGCCGAGACATCCTCAAATTCCTGCGCGCGGGACGCGGCACGCGCGAGACATCCTCGGAATTCCTGCGAGCGGGACGTGAAAACAAGCAGTTCGCCTGAGACATCCTCTGAATTCTGGCACCCCACGAAGCCCCCGCTCGAAACATCCGCCCAATTTTGCAAAGCCAGCGTTTCGCTCGAGACATCCTCAACAAATTATGAAACCGCGCTCCCAAGGCCGCGATCCCTTGTAAATTACACTGCGTCCGCGCTCCCAGGGCTACGATCCCTCGTAAATTACACTACACCCGCGCTCCCAGGGCCACGATCCCTAGTAAATTACGCTACGTCAGCGCTCCCAGGGCCACGATCCCTCGTAAGGGCTCCTGGGCCCTCCTGGGTCTTCCTTGGACCTCTTGGGCCCTCCTGGGCTCTCCTGGGCCCTCCTGGGCTCTCCTGGAGCTTCTCCTGGGCCCTCCTTGGGCCTCCCTGGTGCCTCTTGGAGCCTCCTGGGTCCTCCTGGGCCCTCCTGGGCTCTCCTGGGCCCTCCTGGGCTCTCCTGGGCTCTCCTGGGCTCTCCTGGGCCCTCCTGGGCGAAGTCAAGGTCCGAAAACACATGGGACTTGCCACATTTCTGAAATTCGGTGCCACCCCTCACGCAGGTCGGCGGGGTCAGGATCCGAAAACACAGGGGATTTGCCACATTTCTGGAATTCCGTGCCACCCCTCACGCAGATCGGCGGGGTCAGGGTCCAAAAACACAGGGGATGTGCCACATTTCTGGAATTCCGCGCCACCCCTCACGCAGATCGGCGGGGTCAGGGTCCAAAAACACATGGGATTTGACACATTTCTGGTATTCCGTGCCACACCTCACGCAGATCGGCGGGGTCAGGGTCAAAAAACACATGGGATTTCTACGATTTCCGAACTTATGCAACTTCAAGAATCCAAAACTCCGTTCCCAGCGCCGTTCCGGAGGCCGCGGTACCTCGTTATTTCTCGAGCGAACAAGTCGATGTCGGAAAAAAGTTGACTTCACCTGAGAAATATCGAGGTTTCCTTAAAGGCAGTAAAATTCCAAGAGCACGATCTGCGTGAGGGGTGGCGAAAAATGGCCTTCGTCCTCACAATTGAAATCCGCCAGCCCCCTTCGACCTCGTAATTTATCGCACAAGAATTCCGCCGGCCCCCTTCAAGTAAAGACCGGGGGGTAAACCAACTAAAAGAGAACCCTGGGCCCACGCCCTTTCCGGGAAAAATGCACTCGTCCGAGCGATGCCAGGACCTCCGGGCCCCCTCATCACCGACACGCGTTGGTGGGCATGGCGTTCCGAACCCTGGCGGCGCTGGCAAGCCGTCGCCTTGAGAGTGGAATCGTGCGAGGCAGAGCGCTTGTACAGGATGTTGGTCGAGTTCTTCGAACTAGTCCCGCCGTCTCGGACGCCTCGGCCGCCCGCACATGAGAATACTTGTTTGTTGTTCTCCCTCTCTCGCTCTCTCAACCTGTGCATACAAGTGTGACCGTATGCATCCCCCAGGAGATTGTTAGGCAGCACGGCCGCAAGCAAGGGGGATCGCAATGGCAATCAACTTTAACCATGACAGACAGCAATGTGTGGGCTATCAGGGGGCAATTCTCGCATGGCAAAAGAAGTATAACGACGAGAATAAGAAAGGGGATTTGGATCAGGACAAGGGCATGCGGAGCATTGAAGATGAGGGAGACTGGGGGAAAACAAGAAATACGAGGTGGAAGAAGGAATACTGTGGAAGCAGTGAACACGGAAAAGAAAGAGAGAGAGAGCGAGAGAGAGAGAGAGAGAAACAAAAAGCAATATATGAGAAAGTGATTAAAGAGACTGGAGGGGACACGAAAAGGGAACGGGAGGGAGGTGGGAGGAGGGGGACAGAGATAGGAGGGAGAAGCCAAGCGGGAGAAGGGAATATAAAGGAAGGAAGGAAGGAGGCAGAAGGAATAGAAAGAGGAGTAGCAGCAGCAGCTCATCATGCAGAACAAGTTTGGGTAGCTGGTTCTGCTACACTGCTACACAATAGCATGGAGCATCGCCGACCGGACTCACCACATGATGGCATAATGCGAACACATACAAGACGAGACTGCGGCCGATGAGAAGGTCGGGGGTGAGACGAGCTTCGTACGTGGACGTGCCCGAACGGGGCGCCCAACTGCAGCCCCAGCGGGGACGGCAGCATACGACCTTCCCCGCTCTGGACGCTCGTCGGCCTCCCCGAATACTTCGAGGGGTTATCTTCCACCGAAGAGCTGGGACTCCCGGGAATGCATAAATGCATAAGCTCCAAGGACCCTTTAGGTTGGGCCGTCTGGGGCCCCTCAGGGCCATCTTGGGGATCTCTCGGGACCGATGTAGATTCCTCTTGCTGCCCTCTTGGCCCATCCTGGGGCCCTTGAGGCCTATTCTTCGGGCCGTCTTGGGACGGTATTGAGGGCTGCTTGGGTAGTCTTAGACGCTGTGAAGAGCGAAAAGGCGAGCATGTTCAAATCCTTCACACAGCTGCGGAGGAAAAGTGGTGTTTGCCTCTCGGGAGCTCTCTTGGACCGCCCCTGGGACGTTTTGGGAGCCTCACGGGCGATCTTGGAACCTTCATGGGCCGCCTTCGAGCCCAGTCGGGCTGTCTTCTGGGCATCTTAGGCCGCCTTAAGCCCATCTTTGGCCGCCTTGGGGACATGTTTTCCCGCGCTTGGAAAAGAACTTGGGGTTTAAGGAAAAGGGGCTGGCACCAAGATCCCCCATTTGTAATCCAAATCTCTGTCTAAGACCCCTGATTCCAAGCCCAAACGGAATCCAAATCGATTCGAATTCGGATCACTTTCGCCCGACATACAGTCCTGAAAACCTCCCCCGCCACTGCACATCACAAACGTTCAGGGACAGAGACATGTGGGGAGGGGGGGCCGAAAAGGACCCTCCCCCGACCGCATCTCGGGCTCACAAGACAAGCCCAACGCTGACCTCCTGACCCCCTGACGCCCCCAGGCCTGCCGAAGACGGCGCTGGGACGGCCCGAGGCCATCCGAGGCCCGAAGGCCGGCTTGCGGTACCCGCCTGCGGCACCCGCCCGGGCTCCCCCTTCGGCTCCCGAAATGGCCGCCGAAGCCCCCTCTGCAGTCCCAAAGACCTACGGTGTGCGCATTGGATGAGGAACCCATGGACAAGGAATCCAGGGTCTGGAAACCAGTGGAACTTCGATCGTGGATTGGCCATGGAAATCTTCGCCGCCCCCGTCAGGTAAGGACCCCCCCCAGGGTCTGAAGCCTCCTGGGCACATTCCTTAACCAACGCCCGCACCGTGGCCGCAAAGGCCCCCCTGCAGTCCCAAACACCCACTCGAATACCACCAAGACCCCCATCACAATAGACTGACGAACCCGCCTGCCATTGCAGATGCCACTGAACGGCAAGCAAGGAGCGGTTGCAGAGTAGCGCTTGCAAAGGGGCGATCGCCTTCCGCCCCAGCCGTATAGGAGCGCTTGTAAAGGATGTTGGGCGAGTTCTTCGAGGGAACGCCTCGGTACCACTGGAGGCTCCGTCTCACATCCACGTCTGAGTCGCGCAAGAACGTAATGAAGATAATCGTCAAGAGGGTCGCCATCACAAGCGGACAAGGATGCAGCACGAGGTGAACTGGCAAAAAGTCGATGTGATCAGCAACGGGGGAAGGGGGCCAATGGGAACGAGGCGAGATGATGATGACGAGGCGGCGGCGGAGAAAAACAAAAAAAAGGGGGAGGAAAACTACATAAAACAGGAACGGAAGGCGCAGGAAGGGAAACCATACTGAAGGTGGAGGAGGCGGGGGGCCGGGAGGAGGGAGGAGGGAAGGAGCAAGATGGGGGGTAGAGGGTGGAGGGGGAAGAGGGTTGAAGGGGTGACAAAAGGAGGGGAGAAAATGGAGGGATCAGGGAAGGTGGAAGGGGGGGAGCGACGGGGGAAAAAGAGAGAGAGAGAGAGAGAGAGAAAAAAAAAAGGGGGGCGGACAAACGAGCTAGGTGCGCGCGCAATATCTGATATCCCACCTCTCCCGCCCATCCTGCCGAACCTAGATCTCCCAAATGGCCCGATCATGTGAGGAAAACAAGCTCTGTGCATTGGAGGGAGAGGTGAAGAAGTGGCGGATGAGCATGAGCATGAGCAGGAGGAAGAGAAGGATGAGGAATGAGGATGTGGAGCGTGGCCGAAGACGTCCGTTCCTGCCTGCACTACTTTCCCTCCCCGCGCGCCTCCACCACGACGTTGTCGAGGTGGGCGCGGGACAGGAGATGCCTATATCTCCCCCTGGTAGGGAGGCGCATGGCCAGCCGAACAGCACCTATGATCTCGGTCGCCTTGACAGCATAGAGGGGCAATGATGCCTGTCTAGAGGTAATGCGGTAAGCATGATATAGCGCAGCAGTGCACGCAAATGAGTATCCGCGGAGGCCGCGGGTGAACAAAGGATCAGAGGGGAGAAGAGAGTGGAGAGACATGGACGCAACCCACTGGATGCGGGTACACTCGAGCACATAGCGAGAGATGGCACCTGGCGCTTGCGGACAGCCGAACACACATGAGTGCAATGGCCTTTGCATACGCTGGCTCGTGATCCAGCAGCCGAGCCCGCTACGGGGCGCGATGGGGCTCCATGCCATCGGGGCAACATGCAATAGCGCCTGCAACTCGCCCGCGTTGCCCAATTCGAAGGCGGGACAAAAGTGCTTCCTCACCCTAGCCCTGATTCGGAACGCAAGGCTCCCACCGGCAAAGAAAGCCCGATCGAAACTCCCCTGCGCTGCGCCCTGCCACCTGGGACGCTGGCGCTCGGCCCCAGGAGCGCCCGCGCGGGAAATGCCGAGCGCCTCGGCGCCGCCTCTCCGCAGGGCCAGGGTGTGCCTTCGAGCCGCATACTTGGGCCGAGCCCCATCGGCGTCTGGCGCCCGATGGAGAGGGGGGCGGGGGGGCGCGGGAACCCAAGAAGCATGCCCTAGCGTCTAGGCGATCGAGGGCGATCCCCAAAAGTCGGGGGCGAGCTTGTCACTGCCCCACCGCGCGGCAGGCCCCCGCCCCGCAACCGCCCGCCGCGACCCCCGATCTGAACTTGCCGCGCGCTGAGAGCGGCGAGAGCCGAGCGCGCGAAGGGGGGCAGAGCAATGGGACAGGGCACTTCTTAACTGAGGACCACCCCATTCGGACAACTGCAGCCATTCACCGCGGCCCATGCAAAGGCTCGGAGCGCGCCAAAGCCTAGCGAAGAGATGCCTCTCGGAGACGGCGGGCCGCCTCGGGAGAGGAAAGAGCCGGGCCTTGCATCGGTCGCTCCACTCGCGCCAATGAGGGCCACGCGCTATCTAAGCTTGGCCAAGGGGGGCCCCCGCTCGCTGTTCAAGCCAGGTGCATCTGGGCCCAGGGCGGACTCCACGGCACGGGAGATCTCCTACAATCTGAAACTCGCTCCAAACCGATTCAGCTCTAGAGGGGGGGCCCTCCGAACAGCCCCCGAGGCGCAGGATCTGGGAGCGGAGCTCCGAGGGGCGCGGCCATGCAACTAAACGCCTTCAACATAACATCTGCTTGCTTCGATGCAGAGCGGGAGACCCGAGCAAGCACCGCGCGCCCCCTCCGCCGCCGGATCACCGCCCGCGCAAGCTCGGGTGCATCCGCGTCGTTGGCAATCGACGCTACGCAACAATTCAGTCAGGAAAACGTTCGAAACCAGAACAAACAGGGACCCCGAGAGGGGCATCCCCGAAGGCCCCCTGGAAACATCCAGTAGATTATGCAAAGAGCATGGTCCACTTCACTGCAACGGGGGTCGGCAGCATAAAACACTTCGTTGCGCGGATGAAGCCACGCGGGAGCCCATGCGCACGCACGCACATCAGCGCCCATTCCTGCCTCGCCGACGGGAAAGCCTGAGCGCAGTCAAAGGACAAGACGACAGGAGGAACGGGCGGACAAGAGACGACAGCATTGAGACTGGCCAACCGAGCCGAGCTGTCCAGGTCAACTATGTTGTTGACAAAATTTCGGCCAGCGCCCTTTTGATGGGCTGCCCCGAGCGTCTGCGCAGCGGGAATGACGGCGCGATCGATGGTGGCGCCGACTATTTTGTTCGCCGTGTTCTGGAGGCCAAACGGGCGAGTGTCTCGGGCGGCGCGCGCCAGTCCCTCGATGGATTCTGGTTCCCCGGCGACCGGCCTGGGGAGAAAGACAGCGAGGGGGGCAGAGACGGAGAGAGGCATGGGATGGCCCTGTAGCGCCCAAGACACCACAAGATCTCGACCCCCCGCCCGCGCCGCCAGGCCCAGAAATGGGGCCCATCGGGGCCGGGGCCAGGAGCGCCGTTGGGCGCCTTCCAAACGAATCGCTCGAGGGGTCTCTGGGGCGGGGGCGGCAGCGACGAGAAATCCAGACCCATCCCGCGCCAGCGACCCTCCAAGCACCGACCCCCCCCGCGACGGGGCGGGGCTGGTTTTCCCGTAGATCGGGCCCCAGTACTTGGCAAGAGCCTCAACTGACTCGGCTCGCCCCGAACGAACGGACGGTCGAGCGGCCCACGTGGCCGCATCAGCGCCCCCGGCTCCGCCCGGCGACCCTGATGCGGACGCTCAAAATTTACTGCGGACGAAAAGATTCCACAGATGAGCACGACAACCGGCCGCCTGCTTCCCGCCGAGGACTCGAGCCCGACGACCAGGGCAATTCACTTCCTCAGCGGCTTCCTTCTCCAGCTGCTCACGCCTCCTCGCGGCCCCCTGCTGCTGCAGGCTCGCATGTAGACTGCTATATCTAACGGGGTCAAGGGGGGCAACGGCATCGCGATCGGAGACCCCAGCAAGTTCGCGAGCCCACAAGTGCTCAAAGCGGATGGCACGGGTAAGACGGGCATCCTGGCGAGCAACAGCTCGGGCAGGAAACCGACGGGCCATCGCTCGAGATGCGAGCCGGCGGGGCTGCCTCAGGAGCTGAAGATCTCCAGCGGCAATGCCTGCTTGCTGGCGGCGCAGGACTGCCGCCTCGAGCTCCGCAGGAGGAGCAAGGTTTTCAAAATTGACCTGCGCCTCGCATGCCTGGGCCATCGCCGGGCGAAGGGGGTCGGAGTGCAAGTGGGGCGGGAGAGGGCGGGGGCGATGATCCGATCCAGCTGGCGCAGGGCGCCCGGCGCGCGCGATGCTCACCAGTGCGCGGCCACTAACCCCAGCCTTGCACAACTCCTCAGGTGCCCCAAAGACGCGCAAGGATTGGAACCCTTGGCATAGGAGCCACGGAGGCGAGGCATGGGAGCAACTGTCTACCTTCGCGCAGGAGCGCTTGCCCTGATGCCAGCGCGTGGGAAGCTCGCCAGCCAGCTCCGTGAGCACCCTAAGAATAGATCGCCAAGCTCCATCTCCAGGGCGCCCGCCTCTCGCCTCGACCCTGGAAGTCCCGGACTCGCGATCGCCGTCGCAAATATTGACCCCCCCCTGCAGCGCCAGCCCGAAATCGAAAGGCTTGCTCCGCGCCACTTCGACCTGAGACTTGATGCGGTCGCGAGCCCGTCTAATCTCGCCAAGGCTCATATCAAAATTGTGGACATTCCAGTGCCAGACACGGAAGCCCGAGGAGGTGTTCCAAATTTCTAAAGCCAGAATCCCCCCACAGACACCCACACCGAGAAGCTCCGAGACCTCGAGATGGGCTGAAAGAGAGGAGTGAGGGACCAGCGTGGCTACGCCGCCCGCAAGTGAGCCCTCCGTATACGACGCAAAAACGCGGTGCGGTAACCCCGCGCGCCGGGCAGCCCCCTGACCGGCAATGACTTCACCGTGAGTCTCCTGAAGGGCCAGAACATTCGAGGAGGAGGAGGAGGAGGGAGCGGCCGCGAGATCGCTCAGTACCCTGAGGCGCCGAGCACACGCATCAGGACGGCGATGGCAGGGTGCCCGACAGATCCACGTCGTAAAAAACGCCGAAGTCAATCCAGACAGAGTGTTACCCACTCCACTGAATCTGCACCCCGGAGAAGACGCGGTCGGCTGCGGAGGCCAGCCGCGCCCGATCCAAGCCGAAGTCCGCCAACGACGCAACGTTCTAGCGGGCCCGTGGCGGGTCGCAAGGGCGCGCCTCAACCTTCGCGATGGGCTGCCATTGCATAAGAAGCGCCCCCGCCTCCCCGTCCACGAAGATGTCCTTCTGCAGCAGGTTCGACAGGGTAGTCTTGAGCTGCTTGCAGGCCCTCTCCCTGACAATGTCTTGCTTGCTTTTGTCGAGGCCCGCAAAGATCCCCACCTCGCGGTCGCCAGGGATGAGCGTCCGAAACCACCTCCAGCTGCCAGGACTCTCACGAAGGCAGGAACGCGCATGGCGCACGCGCGCCTCTGCAGCGAGGCGAGTCTCGCCCTCGCTGAAGCCGGAGCGCAGCGCGAAGTTCTTGGACACTTGGGGGCTCTCGATCATGCGCTCCCGCTCAAGCTGGTAGCCGCAGGCCTCGAGCCACGGCTGCAAAGCGTCCGCGAAGCCACTGGCAGGGATGGCCTCCTTCGCGTTGATGGCGAAGATGGAATGGTCCTTGGGCCGATCCCAATCAGCAGACCTGGCAACTGGAACCCAAGGCTCCTCACGCGCAACGTCGAAGACATTCTCCAAATTCTGCATCCTCTTGGACACGTCCTCCTGGTTGCTCTCCAACGCGGGCGCCTGCTCATCAGTAGCAGACATCTGTGCCATAATCGCATCAAACCTGGACGCCATCCTCTTCTCGATGCCATTGGGCATGGGTTCGGCGCTACTGGGCATTGACCGCGGGAAGGACAGCTTTAATAGAGGCCACAACACCGTTAGTAAGCTCGCCGATGCACGACTCCTTAAACTTGCCGAAATCCTCCGACTAAATCTCACGCGCGATCTGGGCGATGGCAGGGCGCATCCAGGGGTCCGCCACACCACCATCGCCGTTGAAGGTTCCACCACCGCCACGACGGGGAACGGGCGGAAAAAACGGCGGCGGGGACTGACCAGCCTCCGTCGCAGCGTCGGGTGCAGGGCTGCCACTGACCTCGTCATCAGGGAAAGTGGCGGCAATGTCCAGCTGCCTGAGGATACTGTCGTCGATATTGTTGCCCACGGAAGCCTGCCCACCACCAGCCTCGGAACGACGCCCTGAGTTGTCATGACGAAGACGAGCAGCAACGCCACGGCGAGAGGACGTGGGAGGCGACCTTGGCGGGGTACGGGAGACGGAGTCGACAAAGGAGTCAGAGTCGTCCTTCTTCTTCGACCTCCTCGGGGTTGAATACGCATCCTTGACATCCTTCTTGGCCTTGTTTTCCTTCTTGCGATCAACCATCCGCCTTGGCAGGTGAAAGAACCCCCCACAATTTACCCTCACCCGACAAAACGACGGGAGGAGAGTCGCGGCGCTCTGGCGCCACGGTCCAGACCTGGGCGAAAAGGCCGAGAAGCGAAAGCCAGCCACGGATTAGCGGTATCCGTGCGCTGCCACGGGCAAAAGACATCTTGAGCCAAAATGGCTACGGAGGATGAGGAATGAGGAGGAAAAGCAGCAGCAGCAGCAGCAGGAGGAACGGGAGGGACGGGAGGACAAGGGGAAGGCGGAGGAGGGGAAATGAGGGGGGCGACGACGAGGGAATCGGATCCAGAAATGTGGCTCGCGCCGGGGCGAGAGCGCCACTCTGAACGACGGGAACAACACGCCGACATCCTGAAATGTGGCCGACGCTGCAACGGAAACACCAGCTTGAAAAACCGGAGAAGTCATAAGTGGAAGACATCACATGAAACATCACAGTTTGAACTCCTGTGCCGTGAAAGATGCTGGGCTGTCAAGATTTACCCGCGACCGCCTGGGAGCCTGGGCGCCCCTTGCGAACATGGCATATTCTCAGACGAGAGGTTGAGCTGGCACGGCCGCTGCGAGGAGCAGGGAAGGAGTATGAAGATCAACTGATTGCGGGGGGCGGCCCGCCAGCCTCAGAGGCGATTTCAGGTACATGTTGTCAGCCACACTGGGCGTCGAAAACGGCGAGGGGGGCGAGCACCGACATCTTATAATCGCCGCCGCGCCCACATTTCAGACGTCTGACTCTACAACCCAGAAGTCTAGAAATTATGGGGCTGGAAGAAAATTCTGCACACGCACTCCCAGTGCGGATCAAACTTGAAAGTTTCCTCGATCGCCCAACTGGCCCCCTGGGCCAGGGCGTCATCGGCGGTTGCGGTTATGTCTTGACGTGTTTAACAAGAGTATAAAGGGAGGAAAGGCGCCCCGCTCGGACGGGACCCAGGGAGAGAGGAGAGTCGTATTCATATTGAAAACGGGTTGGGTCGCCGTTGGGGGAAGAGAGGGGAGCTTGCAAACAGGAAGGAAAACAGGCAGGGAGGCAGCAACAGGAGCAGCAGCAGCAAACATCAATCGCTTACACAGAAGAAGCATTCGCCTCCACCACCACCCCTTCTTCCCTCCTCTCCCCCCCTCTCCCCTCCTCCCCTCCCCCCTTCCCTCCTCCCCCTTCCCGCCTCCTCTCCTCCTCCTCCCTCCTCCCCCCCTCCTCCCCTCCCCTCCTCCCCCTCACCTTCCGCCCCCCCCTCGACCTTCCGCCCCCGTCCTCCTCTTGGGCAGGGTCTCTCTGGCTCACCCTGGACGCGGGGAGGCCTCCCCGTCCGGGCGCATCGCGCCCCGGCCACGACGCTGCCAGGACCGCAGCCTCGGGCCGCGAAAGCGCCGGGCCGGGGAGGCGCGCGCGGCAGGGCAGCGCACGCCTCTCGAGCGCAGCGAGGCGCGCGCGCGCCCGCGAGGCTGCCCTCGAGCAACAGGTCCCTGCCTCCTCGTGGCGGACCTCGAGCAGGAGGGCCCTCGCACGGGGACGCCGCGAACAAGTGGCGACGGGCGTCTCTGCCGCGCCTCCCGCGGCCGCCCCGCCCTCTCTTCCCTCGCGCCTCCGTGCCTCTGCTCGCCCACCGCGGCCCAGCCTGGGCACCGATCGCGCCGCGCGACCGCCAGCGCTGCGACCAGAAACGGCATCCTCTGCTCCATCGCGGGCCGCAGGATCCTCGGCATCGGCCAGGCTCGAGGACGCGTGCGTGCAGGGAGGGGGTCGGGAGCTCGTTCCGCCACGCCTCGATGGCGTGAGCTCCTGCTTCGCACCGTCGGCTTCCAGGAGGGGACCGCCGGGGCGAGGGGAGAGCATCGGCGGCGCGCAACCGGGGGGTAAGGCCGAGGGGGCGGGCCTTCTCTCGGAAGGCCGAGAAGGCCCCTGGCCTTCCGACGAGCCCTCCTCCTCCTCCTCCTCTGGGCCTTTTCCAGCGACGCCGACGGCTTCTCAGAAGGCGCTCCGCCGCCTTCCGAGAAGGCCCCACCCCGTCTCTCGCTTCCCCCCCTGGGCGCGCCGCCGAGCGGAGAGGCGATGGGGACCGGAACGGGGAGGGGGGGCGGGGGGGGAGAGGGAGGGGCGAAGGCGTGAAGGAGGGAGAGGATGGAAGGGAGGGAGAGGGGGACGGGGAGGGAGGGAGGGAGAGGGAGAGGGAGAGGCGTGAGGGAGGGAGAGGGGGTCGGGGAGGGAGAGGGTGGAGGGCCGGGAAAGGCGAGGAAAGGGAGGAATGAAGGCGGGGCCGCAGATGGACAGAAAAGTGGAACCCTTGACACCACGCCCCCCCCCCTCCCCCCAATTTCAAGGTTGGCCTCAGGCATTTGGCGGCACAGGCGTGAGAGAACAAAAAAAGTGGAACCCCCAGGGCCTCCGAGAGGCCGAACCCAACGTTGGAATTGGGGCGAGGGGGGGGGGGGGGGGCGAATGCGGGGCTGAAGACGAAGGGGTTCCACTTTTTTGTCCCCTTACAGGAGGAATGAAGGCGGGAAGAAGGAGGAGCATGAGCAGAAACAGGATTTCGGAGAGAATACGGAGGGCAACGACGACGAGGCTACGGCGGATAAGGAGGAAGAAGAGGAGGTACGAGGAAAGCTGGTGTAGATGCACAAACTCGTTTTGACTGTCCGATGCCCCTTGAAACCAAGCGAACGACTGAAAATAAGCTTAAGAGTGGAACGAACGATATTAAACGAGCAAACGACAAACCCATAAGCTAACACACGAGCAGGGAAAATATGATAAACGAATTGTGCCGAGGGGGCTAGAACTCTGAGCTTGTGTGACTTATGGCAGTGACCCCATGTCCCCGATGCCCAGCTGCGGTGTGATAACTCCGAAATGTCGGACCCATCCATGATCCTTATTTTTGCATCGAACTGGGCACAACAAAGGGGGAGTTGTAGGAAATAGAAGGACAGAAAGAGAGAGAGAGAGAGAGAGAAACAAAAAAAAAGAAAGAAAGAAATAAAGAAAGATACTGAGACACGCATGCCCAAACCCGTCCGGTCGCATGCGTGGCCGAGGCCCCCGCGGGTCGAATCGTGCAGTGGGCTCCCGCACCGTGGGCTCGAGGCCACGTCCGCTGCTGGTGCTACCCTGGCCATCGCCGCCCCTGCAGGGGCGCATCATGCGCAGCAGCGCGAGGGGACGGACGCGAGCGGCCCCAGCATGCGCCACTGGGGGAAGGGGAAAGGCAGAAAGGGAGAGGTGGGAGAGGAAGGGGGAAAGCATGGGGAGGTGGGAGGTGGGAAGGAGCTGCAGGAGTAAGATCGGGTGGGAAGGGGGGGAGGAAGGAGATGGGGAGGGGGGCCACATGGGGGGGGGATGCTGGAAGCGTGGTGCTGGGGCATGGGGGGAGGAGGGGGTTGCGAGGACGAAGGGAAGGGGGGGGAGGAGAAGGGGAGCGGGGACACGGAGGAGCATATAAGCGCGGGGGCAATAGAGAGGGGGTTAATTTTCCAGCGTTAGCTTTCGAACCAATGGATCGAGTCATGACAGTTGCGGACATACAAATATGTGCACAAACCAACAGACACGATGTCCGGATGGTGCTGAAGCCTCTTACTCCGCACCCATGGCCAATCCAACTGCGACGCCTGTCCTTTACAAAACCGCGCAGCGGAGCGTGGAGCGATCCACTCCTGGAAGCTGGTTTAAACTTACAACGTACTTAACCACACTACCTGCCCGTGAGACTTGCATCGAGGCGCTTGTGACTGTAAGCCGGCTTGCTAGGCTTCCATGGATCGAGGCCGTCACGAAAACAGGAAAGCTGGGAGACGGGGGGGAGGAGCATTATTAGGAGGAGGAGGCGAAGGAGGAGGACGAAGTGAAAGAACCTCGTTCCCCATATTCATGTTCATATATATATATATATATATATATATATATATCACATGATGTGGTCCTCGTGGTCTGGAGGGGGGCGACGTCACCGAACGGCTACGCCTTGAGTATGAAATCTACATTCTGGATGGCCTCTAGGAGGGCGGGTTTGGCGAGCAGTGTAAAAGGGACCCCGTGAGACACCCTGTTAAAGAGGTGAAACACTCTCACGAGGTTCCACAGCAGGTCTGGATTCACCGGCAGAAGGCACCAGCGCTCTGGAGGAGAGCTGGTAAGAGAGGGTACTCGGGGTGGTGGAAAATCTCCTGCAGCTTGGGGCACCTCCAGTAGTGTCGAACATCGCCCCCCTGGTGCCAATGCGTGTTGACGCGCGCGCGCAGCCGAATCTACAGGCGAACGGCGGGGCATGCAGCCTGGCCCTTCGTCGTCCATCCGCCGAGCAGGGATTTGAGGACAGCTGTGGCCCCGCGACCCCGCCAGGAAACGAGGGCGCACTGCAGCGCCTCGAAATCGATCGCGGCCCGCTGCCATTCGGGGGTGGAGAAGGAGGTGGAACGACGCAGGAGAATGGAGGTCAAAGACGAAGGATAGAGCGAGGGGAGGGAGGCTGCATACAAGGTCGCTTGCAATCGCGGCGCGAACCGCGAGGCCCGTCGCCGAGGCTCAGAGGCGAGTGCGGAGCGGAGCACGTCTCTCCCTGGCGCTGCCCATGTGCGTGAAGTCGGCCAGATGGCCGCGGCATCGGCAAGGCTCCCCGCGACGCTGGGCGACACCCACCACTCAGGCGAGAGGCGCCCCCGGAACACAAAGGGGGAATGACAGCGAGAACGCTGCCACCTCCTGGAGCCCTGCCAGGGCAGGCCGCCATGCGTGCGCCAGCGTTTTCAGCGCCGCCCTCATCATGGCAACCCTGGCGGCGGCCGCGAGCGATTGCAAGCGCGGCCCTCCCCAAGAACATCGCAGCTCCAGCAGGTCGGCCACGCCGCCGGTGTTCGGAGGGAGCCGCATCACCTTGCATATCCAATAGCGCTCCTTCGTCGAGGAAGTGGGCGGGCACCATGAAGTACTGCGCTAGATAGCTCGTGAGAGGCAGCACCGGGGAAGCGTAGAGGGCCACCGCAGGGGCCGCGTGGGTGCCCGAGTTGGCCACATATGCGGTGCGGGCCCGCATTTTGTTCAGCACTGCGAGCCAGACGTCCACGAGCGTCACCGCAGGGCCCATGAGCAGCCCCAAGTAGACGGTGGACGGGGCGATCGGAAAATCCTCCCATGCGTCCGTGGAGGCACGGAGGAGCTGTCGGGCACGTTGTTTCACCGCCTCCGCCCATCGGCCTTCGAGTGGGATCATGGCGCACTTTCTGAGCTGAACTTTCATTCCCGCGCAGCGGGCACAAGTCCGGAAGAACAGCTCCGCCCGGCAGACCATGGCGAAGCGCGGCAGCAGGGCGCCGACGTCGTCAGCGCAGGCGAAGGCACGGCCCGCGCGATACTCGCGCCGGCGCGGGGCCAGCAGCTCGTCGAGCCACCGCGACATCGGGTCGAACGCCCAAGCGACGAGGCCGCCGCTGAGTGGACATCCCTGCAGCACGCCCGCCACGATCAGGAAAGCACGGATCAGCGAGTACGGCCCCCCCACTCAGGCCCGCGCCATCGCGCAGTTTGGCAGCGGCGCGGAAGCGCGCCAGGAACTGGGACCCCTCGAGCACCCTACAGAGCCACTGCTGCGCCAGGCTCGGGAAGGCCGCGCCAAAGTCATAGCAGCTCAGCGTTGGGCTGGCGAGCTGCAATGAGGCTTGGAATGCCATCTCTCGGCCCATGGCGCCCATGTGGACGACGTTGCTTCTAAAGCTCCGTCCCGCGATGAAGCCCTGCTGGCTCGGGCGGCGCGTGCGACGGGACCTTCAATGAAGTCGGCCCCGCGGCCTCCGGAGCCCTGGCGGGGCCCCGAGCGTCGGAGGCAACGGAATCATTGGGCTTCTAAGTGCCTGCGAGATGTCGTTGAACTCTGGCGGCATGCCCTGGCCGGCCCCCAGCCATTCGCGAGCGCGCAGGATGCGCGCTGCGCCACTGGGCGCGCGGGCCCAAGCCGAATGAGGCAGCCTATCGGGCCCCGGCGCGCTGGCGCCGAGCATTGCGCAGCAGTCTGTCCACGCGCCCCTCGAAGGGAGGAGTCACTCGTCGATGCCTATGTCTGCGCAGTGCTTCTCCAGGAGAACGCCCGTCGCCGGGCCGTCGGGCAGCTTGGCCGCGAAGACCTCGTCTGGTTAGCGAGGGCGCGCTGCGTCTCCAATGGGTCGCGCATTCGCCTTGCCGTCGTCATCGACGACGCCGCTCAGCACGAGGCCATTGCCCCGCGGTGCCCATCGGGAAGGTCGTCGGCGAGTGGTCGACGCTAGGCGCTGGGGGCGGGCTCGGGCGCCTTGGCCGCGGGCGCGGTTCATGCCGAGCTCCAGCCCTCGCATCTGGACGGCGGCGCCCTCGGCGTCGTGGATCTCGACGACCTCCTGCTCGAATGCCGCCGGGCTGCGCATCGCGACGGCGCCGGCTTCCCAGTCGCACGTGGCGCGGCGACGCGCGAGTTGCGACGTTTGGGACAAGCGCCATGCCAGACGGACATCCTGCCGCCATACAGCTCGCGAGACTGCGCGAGCTCGCATCGACTGGGAAGCCGCGTCTGGAGCGTCTCGCGCCGACAGCCAGTCCCGGGCGAGTTTCGCGGCAGCTGTCATCTTGGCTCTGAGCGCGGGGGACTGCGGAGGCACCGAGGAGGGCTGGTCAACGAAGTGCTCGCACGCGAGGTCGAAGGAGTCGATGTATTCACCTGTCTTGAAGATGTAGTCGGGGAGCGGCTGAGCGTGTTCGGGCTGCGGCGCTCTCGTGGAAATCGCGAGGTAGATGAGCGCGCGGTCGCTCAGCTGGCGTCGGCGCGTCTCGCCCGGCGCGAGGGCGCGGCGGAGCGACGCGCGCGCAGGGGGTTGGCCCAGGCAAGCGAGCTGATGGAGATGAGAATGCGGTCTAGCCGATGCAGCTGGATGCTCTCTTGTGTCCAAGGAACGCGTCGGCTGTAGGTCGTGAGCCGCGGTCATCATATCGAAGATGCACTTCAACGATTGTTCCACCAGTCGCGGGTCGGCCTGCTCTCTGCGCGCCTTGCGGTGCTCCTCGGTGTTTGCCGTGTAGATCGCTGGCTCGGGGTGCAGATTGCAGCCGCTCGCGACGATCGCGGTCCGCGGCCTCGGCTGGCCCCGCGCTGCCTCAAGATCCGGCAGAATGCACTTGTGGAAGATCCTCATGTCCTCGGCTGTGAGCCCGTAGTTGCGGACGTTGTAGTGTCAGCACGGCTCCGAAGGATAGATTCTCAGCGCTGGTTCTCAAAATGCGCCCTGCTACAATGCCATCGCGCTGAACAGGCATGTCTTCGTGATTTCCAAAGAAAGGGAAGAGGGTGGCTACGCCCCCCGTGCCCCTGTCATCACAGAAGGAAAAGAACCGTCGGGCGCGATGGCCGACCTGCCCGAGCTCGTGGCCTAGCACGCCGTCGGTCTTGGGAGCTGCCGCTGTCTGTTGAAGCCGAGGTATGATCTCATTCTTTGCGAAAACATCTGGAGACGAAGGAAAGTGCTCCTGGCGTAGTTGCGCCGAAGGCCGCCATGGTCTGCAGCCTCCTGGACACGCAGACGAAGCATGGTGGGGTCGTCGTTCAGCGGTAACTGTCCCCACGCGAGTGAGAATAATGATGGCAAATCAACGATGGAGATTGATTGATATTGAGTTTCGAACCCCTGCGCGGGTAGGTCAATGAGTAATGAGGTTCCTGCTGGTTCTTCTTGATCTAGAATTCCATTTGTCGCCGTGGATGTGACGGCTGGGTTAGCAATTCGTATCTTCCAAAATCGTGTTGCACTCTAGCCGTTCGGTTCAGACGAGTCCGCTTCATCTTCGTAGCAAGGTGAAAAGATGTTCATCGTAAGCGTCCTACCATTGCTGGTCTTGCTGCGTGCTCTGCTAGTTTCGTTTGTCGCCACCATCGCCTGAGCAGCTGCATGTCGCGGCGGAGCGGCTGTTGCCTTCCCTCCACCCAGACGAGCAATTATTGGTTGAAATGCCCAGTGGTCTGCCGCCGCCGCCACCTGAGGTGTTTCCGTGATCCACTGTGGAATACAAGTGCTTGGCGAGCCGTGTGTAGATTTTGAGGGCGGGTGAAACTGCATGTCTTGAACCGCGTGCTATAAACCAAATCTGGTCCGAGTACTTGAGATACTGCTGGCACATGTACCTTGGCAGTATCGACGCCGAGCCAAAACCGAAAAATAAAACCGAAGATCGAGAGACGGCGTGTCTCAAAGGACCTGCCACCACATCAGCGCCGCCAAAGCTAGCTTTCTAGCGTAAGTTTCCGAACAACTGGCTTGAACCATAATAGTTACGTACCTGTTTGAATCAACTTTCCCGATATCGGGCTGAATCGGAAACCCAGTGCCCCGAACCCCTGATCAATATAACCGGGGGGCACAGGAAAGATGAAGAAGGAGAAAGGCGGCAAAAACTGGGCGGGAAGAGCCAAACACGTGTGCGCACATCCGTGCAGGCACCGTAATCACCCTTCCCGCAAAAACCCAATTTTTCCTCGTTGTGTTTTGTTCCTGTCCCACCATTCCACTCATCATACCACGAAATAGATCCCTCTGGCAACCCCGCCTAATCCCATTCACCCTCTGGAGAGCTCTCAAAAGATGAACGGCTGACCGGCGGAGCAAGAGCGAAATGATGATAAGGAGAAGGAGGAAGAGGATGAAAGTCCCCCCTCCCCTCCAATTCTGCTCCTCCGATCCTCCCTCACCCCCCTCCTCCTTTTCATCCCCTTTCCTTATCAACAATTGTTCCCTGGCGCACCCCCAGACGTGTCGGTAGAGCAGGATGGGCGTTTCGCCTGAGACTTCCCCACCTAGGGCGAATGTGATTATTCAAATGTACAGCAATATCACGGATGAAGGGCGAGTTATTTTCAAAATGTCGCTCTCGCCATAGCGCCGCACGCGGTCGTCGTAACATATTGCAGCAGCTTCAGAGATGGAGAGCAGATGGCTTTCAAGATGTAGTTCTCGCCTTAGCGCCGCACGCGCTTGTCTTGACAACTTGCAGTAACTTCACGGATGGAGGGTGGGCCCTTTTTCAAAATCTTAGCGCCCCGCGCGTTCGTTGTGGCAGTTTGCAGCAGCCTCGCGGATGGAAGGCAGGTCCTTTTTCAAATTGTGGATCTCGCCATCAAACCGCGCGCGTTCGTTCTGAAAGTTCACACCAGCCTCCATGGATGGAAGGCTGTTTTTTTTCAACATGCTGCTCTCGCCTCAGCGCGTTGATCCGCCGCGTTGAACGCAACACCCAATTGGTCTGCAACGTTGATGCCTCTCGCCTCAAGTGGTCAGGACGCAACACGCACATTGATCCGCAACGTTGAAGTCCCGGGAATTGTGTTTTGGCAAGATTGAAATTTCTGAAACGGTTTTCTTCCCAACCATCCTGTGGTGTTGGGTCCTCGTTTTGAAGAGACGGTCCCCGCGTTCTCCTCTCCTCTCCTCCTTTCCTCTCCTCTCCTCCTCCTCCCCCTCCTCCTCCCTCCTCCCCCTCTCCCTGCGTTTCACCCACCCACCCAGTACAGCGCTTCGTAGCCCCATAGAAGCTCCGCCGAAGGCCTCAGTGCTGCCGCCCGCATGCGTCACGCGCACCCAAGTCGGCACACCCCTCACACGTTTCGTGGCCCCACAGGGAGCTCCGCCGGAGGCCCCAGTGCTGCCGCCCGCATGCGTCACGCACGCCCAACTCGGCACACCCCTCACACGCTTCGTGGCCCCATAGGGAGCTCCGCCGAAGGCCCCAGTGCTGCCGCCCGCATGCGTCACCCACACCCAATTCGGCACACCCCTCACACGTTTCGTGGCCCCATAGGGAGCCCCACCGAAGGCCCCAGTGCTGCCGCCCGCATGCGTCACCCACACCCAATTCGGCACGCCCCTCACACGTTTCGTGGCCCCATAGGGAGCCCCACCGAAGGCCCCAGTGCTGCCGCCCGCATGCGTCCCGCACACCCAATTCGGCACACCCCTCACACGTTTCGTGGCCCCATAGGGAGCCCCAACGAAGGCCCCAGTGCTGCCGCCCGCATGCGTCACCCACACCCAATTCGGCACACCCTCACACGTTTCGTGGCCCCATAGGGAGCTCCGCCGAAGGCCCCAGTGCTGCCGCCCGCATGCGTCACGCACACCCAATTCGGCACACCCCTCACACGTTTCGTGGCCCCATAGGGAGCTCCGCCGAAGGCCCCAGTGCTGCCGCCCGCGTGCGTCACGCGCACCCAGTTCGGCACACCCCTCACACGCTTCGTGGCCCCATAGGAAGCTCCGCCGGAGGCCCCAGTGCTGCCGCCCGCATGCGTCACGCACGCCCAATTCGGCACACCCCTCACACGTTTCGTGGCCCCATTGGGAGCTCCGCCGAAGACCTCAGTGCTGCCGCCCGCATGCGTCACGCACACCCAATTCGGCACACCCCTCACACGTTTCGTGGCCCCATAGGGAGCTCCGCCGAAGGCCTCAATGCTGTCGCCCGCATGCGTCACGCACACCCAATTCGGCTCACCCCTCACACGCTTCGTGGCCCCAGGCCCATAAAGAGCTCCGCCGAATGGGCCCAGGGGCCCCACGGACTGCCAGCAAACATGAGTCACGCACACCCAATTTCGGCACACCCCTCACACGTTTCGTGGCCAACAATAAGGAGTCTGGCCCGGCTCGAAGGCCCCAGTGCTGCTGCCACGCCTGCGTCACCCCCACCCAATTCGGTACACCCTCACACGTTTCGTGGCCCCATTGGGAGCTCCGCCGAAGGTCCCGTTGGGTGTGCCCGCATGCGTCACGCACATTCATTTCGGCACACCCCTCACACGCTTCGTGGCCCCATAGAGAGTTCCACCGAAGGCCCCAGTGCTGCCGCCCGCATGCGTCCCGCACACCCATTTCGGCACACCCCTCACGCGTTTCGTGGCCCCATAGGAAGCTCCGCCGAAGGTCCCAGTGGGTGTGCCCGCATGCGTCCCGCACACCCATTTCGGCACGCTCTTCACACGCTTCGTGGCCCCATAGGGAGCTCCACCGAAGGTCCCAGTGGGTGTGCCCGCATGCGTCCCGCACACCCATTTCGGCACACCACTCACGCCTCTTGTGACCCCTCACACGTTTCGTGGTCCCATAGGGAACTCCACCGAAGGCCCCAGTGGGTGTGCCCGCATGAGTCCGCACATCATTCGGTAAACCACGCCGCACGTTTCGTCTGGCCCGTAGGGGCTTTCCACGAAGGCTTCAGGTTTTTTATGTGTGCCCGCATGCGTCCCGCACACCCATTTCGGCACACCCCTCACACGTTTCGTGGCCCCATAGGGAGCTCCACCGAAGGCCCCAGTGGGTGTGCCCGCACGCGTCCCGCGCACCCATTTCGGCACACCCCTCACACGCTTCGTGGCCCCATAGGGAGCGCCACCGAAGAAGATATTCACAATTGCGGTATTCACAATTGCATATGGTTGGGTCCTTCGCCAGGATAATTTTAATGAACCAAGGACATCCCTCCGAGGTCCCTCGTCATTGGTTCTTACCAGAAATGATTTTCATTGCGGGGAGTATAGTATGCGCCTTTGGTATATATTGGTCCGCCTCCTCCTCCTCCTCCTCCTCCTGTTGCTGCTCCTCCTCCTATTCCTCCTCCTCATATTCTTCCTACTCCTCCTTCTCCTCCTCCTGCTTTTCCTCCTCCTCCTCCTCCTACTCCTCCTCCTCCTCCTCCCTCCTGGCCCTCAGCCTCCTGTGGGGGACCAAGAAAGCACCGATACTTACCGCCAAACCCGGGACCTCTCCAGGGGCGCGTCCTGACCAGGATTTCGGGGTTAATCTGGCCGTGGCGACGAGGGCCCCCCAGGAGGCCCAAAAAGGCGAAAACGAGGCAAGGGTAGCGGCATCAGTATCTTTTTCCTCTTCTGACTCCACCTCCCCCTCGTCCACCCTCGGCAAAGTTTTCTGCCCGATTCTCCAGAAGTCGTTGTTCGTAACGGATCCATATTTGGTTGCCCGAAGCTCCATCACAGGCGGACCAAAGCCGAGGAAAAACGCCGCGATTGAAAAATCAGTGGAAAACGCTTCCTCTGGCTCCTCCCTGCCCCCCCCCCCTCCCGACGAGCGACGCGCCTCGGCGGGAGGCACAGCGGCCGAGCCACCGAGGCCCGGGCCGCACTGGCCGCGCGGCAGCGCTGGCCGCTCGAGCCGCGCGGCTGACGCGGGCGCGCTGTGGGCTGCTCGGCCCTGCCCCGGGAGGACAGGGCGCGCCGACGGCGCGCCCGCGCTCTCCAGCGGGCGCCGAGGCCGGCGCAAAGGGGGTATGGGGAGGAGGAGGGGGAGGAGGAGGGGGAGGAGGAGGGGGAGGAGGAGGAGGAGGAGGAGGAGGAGGAGGAGGAGGAGGAGGAGGAGGGGGAGGAGGAGGAGGAGGGGGAGGAGGAGGGGGAGGAGGGGGAGGAGGGGCGCCACGCACGATACACGCCTGGGCGGTTGGAGCAGTTTTTCTAACAAGGAAACGAACGATGTGTTGTTGTACTCCGCCGCGCAATAAGTCTATGCATATATATATACATACATACATACATACATACATACATACATACATACACACATACATACATACATACATACATACATACATACATACATACATACATACATACATATATACACGTATACAAATATACATGTATACAATTATACATTTATACATATGTTCGGCTCTAGCAGACATTCTGCTCCATTCCACTCAAATGCATCTGTTGTGTTCCACCACAAAACGAATACCTTTGTAACGCGCTCGGAATACAAATTATCTCAGAAAGGAGCCTAACAGCGATGTGTAGAAGCATATCTGGAAGCATTCCCCTTAAGATTCAGATGATAATCCAGTTGTAGAATTCTGCTGTTCTCGCAGTCGTAGTCGCATTCGCGATGACAGTCGCAGTGGCAACGGCACTCGCAGTCACAGCCTCAGCCTCAGCCTGCCTCAGCATACAGCCTCCCTGCCTCGAGTCCTCAGCCTGCCTCTGCCTCAGCCGCAGCCTGCTCAGGCTTCAAGCATCAGTCTCGCCGTCTGCCTCGGCTAGCCTCAGTCTCAGCCAGACTCAGACTGCATCAGCCTCAGCCTAGCCGCCTCAGCCTCAGCCTCGGCCTGCCTCAGACTCAGCCTCAGCCTGCCTCAGCCTCAGCCTGCCTCAGCCTCAGCCTCGGCCTGCTTCAGCCTCAGCCTCAGTCTGCCTTCAGCCTCGGCCTCAGCCTCAGCCTGCCTCAGCCTCAGCCTGCATCAGCCTCAGCCTCAGCCTCAGCCTGCCTCAGCATCAGCCTGCCTCAGCCTCAGCCTCAGCCTGCCTCAGCCTCAGCCTCAGCCTGCTTCAGCCTGCTTCAGCCTCAGCCTCAGTCTGCCTTCAGCCTCGGCCTCAGCCTCAGCCTGCCTCAGCCTCAGCCTGCATCAGCCTCAGCCTCAGCCTCAGCCTGCCTCAGCATCAGCCTGCCTCAGGCTCAGCCTCAGCCTGCCTCAGCCTCAGCCTCAGCCTGCTTCAGCCTCAGCCTCAGTCTGCCTTCAGCATCGGCCTCAGCTTCAGCCTGCCTCAGCCTCAGCCTGCATCAGCCTCCGCCTCAGCCTCAGCCTCAGCCTGCCTCAGCATCAGCCTGCCTCAGCCTCAGCCTCAGCCTGCCTCAGCCTCAGCCTCAGCCTGCTTCAGCCTCAGCCTCAGTCTGCCTTCAGCCTCGGCCTCAGCCTCAGCCTGCCTCAGCCTCAGCCTGCATCAGCCTCAGCCTCAGCCTCAGACTGCCTCAGCATCAGCCTGCCTCAGCCTCAGCCTCAGCCTGCCTCTGCCTCAGCCTCAGCCTGCTTCAGCCTCAGCCTCAGTCTGCCGTCGGCCTCGGCCTCAGCCTCAGCCTGCCTCAGCCTCAGCCTGCCTCAGCCTCAGCCTCAGACTGCTTCAGCCTCAGCCTCAGTCTGCCTTCAGCCTCGGCCTCAGCCTCAGCCTGCCTCAGCCTCAGCCTGCATCAGCCTCAGCCTCAGCCTCAGCCTGCATCAGCATCAGCCTGCCTCAGCCTCAGCCTCAGCCTGCCTCAGCCTCAGCCTCAGCCTGCCTCAGCCTCAGCCTGCCTCAGCCTCAGCCTCAGCCTGCTTCAGCCTCAGCCTCAGTCTGCCTTCAGCCTCGGCCTCAGCCTCAGCCTGCCTCAGCCTCAGCCTGAATCAGCCTCAGCCTCAGCCTCAGCCTGCCTCAGCATCAGCCTGCTTCAGCCTCAGCCTCAGCCTCAGCCTGCTTCAGCCTCAGCCTCAGTCTGCCTTCAGCCTCCGGCCTCAGCCTCAGCCTGCCTCAGCCTCAGCCTGCCTCAGCCTCAGCATCAGCCTGCCTCAGCATTCAAAATGTGGCCCGGGAATGGAGTTCTGGGAACTCGAAGAACACGAAGTGGCCTACAGTTGGCTCCGGGCATTCAAAATCATGCCCAGGAATGGAGTTCTAGGAACTCGAAGACCACGAAGTGGCCTACAGTTGGCTCCGGGCATTCAAAATCATGCCCAGGAATGGAGTTCTGGGAACTCGAAGACCACGAAGTGCGTTACTGTTGGCTAAAAAAGGAGTCCCCGTCATCCTCCCCCGGATCGCGCCCAGACCCCCCTGGGGCGTCATGATGCTCTGTTTTGACCCTACTAGAAACCTATCAATCTTCGCTGTTAGGTAAATATTTCCTTTGCGGCAGAATGCAGAAGGGTCCTCGCTGTGGCGCAGTACAAAAGGATCCCCTTCGTGGCAGTATGCTCAAGCATTCCTATCGTGGCGAAAAACGAAGCAAATCCTTCTGAGGTGGATTACAAAAATATTTGTGTGTTGACGGAATTCACAACGAATCCTATTGGGGACGGACATCAAAAGATTCCAAGAATATTCCCTTCGCGGCGGAAAACTTACAGATTCCTTATGTGGCGGGGTACTAAAATATTCCACTGTGTTGTGGATTACTACGAGTCTCCGTGCAGGGCAGAATTCAAAAATAATCCTTATGGTTGGTTATACTGGGACTCCTTTTTAGGCAGAGTGCATGAGGAATCCTTGTTTATGGACGACTATTGAAAAACATGTTCCCCTTGTGGCGTAATGCAAGAGGATTCCCTGCGTGGGAAAATACTACAGGAGTCCTTTGTGGTAGAACACAAAATTATCCCGACAAAGCAACCTAACAGCGATGTGTAGGAGCATATCTGGAAGCATTCCCCTTAAGATTCACATGAGAATCCAGTTGTAGAATTCTGCTGTTCTCGCAGTCGCAGTCGCATTCGCGCGATGAAAGTCGCAGTGGCAACGGCAGTCCCAGTCACAGCCTCAGCCTCAGCCTGCCTCAGCCTCAGCCTCAGCCTCAGCCTCAGCCTCAGCCTCAGCCTCAGCCTTCAGCCTCAGCCTCAGCCTCTGCCCTCAGCCTCAGCCTCAGCCTCAGCCTCAGCCTCAGCCTCAGCCTCAGCCTCAGCATCAGCCTCAGCCTCAGCCTCAGCCTGCCTCAGCTCAGCCTGCCTCAGCCTCAGCCTCAGCCTCAGCCTCAGCCTCAACCTGCTTCAGCCTCAGCCTCAGTCTGCCTTCAGCCTCGGCCTCAGCCTCAGCCTGCCTCAGCCTCAGCCTGCATCAGCCTCAGCCTCAGCCTCAGCCTGCCTCAGCATCAGCCTCAGCCTCAGCCTCAGCCTGCCTCAGCCTCAGCCTCAGCCTGCTTCAGCCTCAGCCTCAGTCTGCCTTCAGCCTCGGCCTCAGCCTCAGCCTGCCTCAGCCTCAGCCTGCATCAGCCTCAGCCTCAGCCTCAGCCTCAGCCTCAGCATCAGCCTGCCTCAGCCTCAGCCTCAGCCTGCCTCAGCCTCAGCCTCAGCCTGCTTCAGCCTCAGCCTCAGTCTGCCTTCAGCCTCGGCCTCAGCCTCAGCCTGCCTCAGCCTCAGCCTGCAGCCTCAGCCTCAGCCTCAGCCTCAGCCTGCCTCAGCATCAGCCTGCCTCAGCCTCAGCCTCAGCCTGCTTCAGCCTGAGCCTCAGTCTGCCTTCAGCCTCGGCCTCAGCCTCAGCCTGCCTCAGCCTCAGCCTGCCTCAGCCTCAGCCTCAGCCTGCCTCAGCATTCAAAATGTGGCCCGGGAATGGAGTTCTGGGAACTCGAAGAACACGAAGTGGCCTGCAGTTGGCTCCGGGCATTCAAAATCATGCCCAGGAATGGAGTTCTGGGAACTCGAAGACCACGAAGTGGCCTACAGTTGGCTCCGGGCATTCAAAATCATGCCCAGGAATTGAGTTTTGGGAACTCGAAGAGCACGAAGTGGCTTACAGTTGGCTCCGGGCATTCAAAATGTGGCCCAGGAAGGGAGTTCTGGGAACTCGAAGAGCACGAAGTAGCCTACAGTTGGCTCCGGGCATTCAGAATGTGGCCCATGGTCCACATTCTGAACTCCATTCCTGCAGGAATGGAGTTCTGGGAACTCGCAGAGCACGAAGTGGCCTACAGTTGGCTCCGGGCATTCAAAATGTGGCCCGGGAAGGGAGTTCTGGGAACTCGAAGAGCACGAAGTGGCTTACAGTTGGCTCCGGGCATCCAAAATGTGGCCCGGGAATGGAGTTCTGGGAAGTCGAAGAGCACGAAGTGGCTTACAGTTGGCTTCGGGCATTCAAAATGTGGCCCAGGAATGGAGTTCTGGGAGGTCGAAGAGCACGAAGTGTGTGACTGTTTGCTTAAAACGAGCCCGGCCCTGAGCCCGGCCCTCGCTGTCCGGATGCCGCCCAGACCTCCCTTCTGAGTCATCAGATGATCTCTTCTGACACCACTAGAAACCTATCAGTCTTCGCTGTTAGGTAAAAATCATTGTTGTGGTGGATTCCTCAGGGATTTCTTGGTGGCGGTATCTAAGGGATCGCTTTTATATAGTTGATTGCTAAGGGATTCCTTCTGCTGCGGAATGCACAAGGAATCTTTTCATGGCGGAATCCCAAAAGGATTCCCCTTGCGGCGGAATGCAGAAGGATTTCCACTGTGGCACAATAATGAAATATTCCTTTTGTGGCGAAGCGGTAGAAAATGATTCCTTTTGTGGTAGATTACAGAGGGATTCCATGCCTGGCAGAATACAAGAAAACAAAACAAACCTCCTTTGGTTGGTTACGAAGCGATTCCTTTTTGTGGCAGGGTGCAACAATAATCATATTGTGGCCGAGTACACAAGGGCTCTCCTTGTGGCGTAATACAAGAGGATTCCCTCTGTGGCATAATACTGAAGGGTTCCTCCTTGTGGCGGAAAACAACAGATTTTCTTTTGTGGTGAATTGCGCAAGGACAGAGTACCAAAGGAATCCTTATGTGGCTGATTACAAACATGATCCCACTTGTAACGGAATGCGAAAAGAATCCTTTCGTGGTCGAATGCAGAAGGCTTCCCTTTGAGACGGAATGCTACAGAAATCCCTTTTGTGGCAGAATACAACAAGGTTTCTTGTGAGGCAGGATGCTCAAATAATCCTTTTTGTAGTGAATTGTTACGGGATTCCTCTTGTAGCAAAATACCAGAGGAACCCTTTGTGGTTGATCGCCACTGGATTTATTGGATTTCTTACGCAGTGGAATGCCAAGGGACTCCGTGTGTGGTCGAATACCGAAGGACTCCCTCTATTGCAAAATTGAGAAAAGAGTGTTTTTCCTTCGCGGGACAATACGGGATTCCTTTTGTGGCGGGTTGCTACAGGATTCTTCTTGCGGCAGAATACAAAGTGAATGATTATGTGGTGGATTGCCAAAGGGTTCAGTAGTTGGCGGAATGCAGAAGGGATGCTCGTGTGACCGGGTGCAAAAGGACCCCCTTTGTAGAAGAATACAGCAAGATCCCTTTTGTGGCGGAGAAAAAATACGTTTGTGGCGGAGCACAACAAGATCCTTTCTAGGGCGGAGTGCACAAGGATTCACTTTGTGAGCGGTAGGCGCGGGGAAAAACAGCGCAACAAGTCATGCAGACAAATAAACAAGCATGATTGTGAGAAAACCACCGTGGGCCATCGCCACAATTCTGCCGAAACCATGTTTTTTCCCCCATATCCTAAGATGGGGTTCTTGTTATCACTTGGACGCCTCCTACTCCTTCTTCTCCCTCCTCCTCTTTTCTCCTCCCCTCCTGTCGGACTTACTCATACTCACACTTGCTCATACTCAGACTTACTCATACACAGACTTACTCATACTCAGATTTACTCATACTCAGACCTACTCATACTCAGACTTACTCATACTCAGACATACTCATACACAGACTTACTCATGCACAGACTTACTCATACCCAGACGTACTCATACACAGACTTACTCATACCCAGACTTACTCATACACAGTATTACTCATACTCAGACTTACTCATACCCAGACGTACACATACACAGACTTTCTCATACACAGACCTACTCATACCCAGACTTACTCATACACAGACTTACTCATACACAGACTTACTCATACTCAGGCATACTCATACTCAGACCTACTCATACTCAGACTTACTCAACACACATCAGATTTGGAGGATGTCTCAAGCGGGGCGCTGGTTTCAGCACCCCTAAGGGGGGCCGCCAGGGGTGTTTGCACGGGCTCGTTCGCGGCCATTTTGTGGGGATGTCTCAGGCGGTTTGCTTGTTTCTGGGCTCAACATCCTTCGCTTGGAGAGCAGATTGTGAGGATGTCTCAGGCGGGGCGCTGGTTTCAGCACCCCTAAGGGGAGCCGCCAGGGGTGGTTGCACGGGCTCGTTCGCGGCCATTTTGTGGGGATGTCTCAGGCGGTTTGCTTGTTTCTGGGCCCAACATCCTTCGCTTGGAGAGCAGATTGTGAGGGAGAGCTCATTGGAGGATGTTTGGTTTCCCAACATCCTTCGCGAGGGAGGATGTCTGCTGGTTTCAGCACCCCTAAGGGGAGCCGCCAGGGGTGGTTGCACGGGCTCGTTCGCGGCCATTTTGTGGGGATGTCTCAGGCGGTTTGCTTGTTTCTGGGCTCAACATCCTTCGCTTGGAGAGCAGATTGTGAGGATGTCTCAGGCGGGGCGCTGGTTTCAGCACCCCTAAGGGGAGCCGCCAGGGGTGGTTGCACGGGCTCGTTCGCGGCCATTTTGTGGGGATGTCTCAGGCGGTTTGCTTGTTTCTGGGCTCAACATCCTTCGCTTGGAGAGCAGATTGTGAGGATGTCTCAGGCGGGGCGCTGGTTTCAGCACCCCTAAGGGGAGCCGCCAGGGGTGGTTGCACGGGCTCGTTCGCGGCCATTTTGTGGGGATGTCTCAGGCGGTTTGCTTGTTTCTGGGCTCAACATCCTTCGCTTGGAGAGCAGATTGTGACGATGTCTCAAGCGGGGCGCTGGTTGCAGCACCCCTATGGGGAGCCGCCAGGGGTGGTTGCACGGGCACGTTCGCGGCCATATTGTGGGGATGTCTCAGGCGGTTTGCTTGTTTCTGGGCTCAACAGGGAAGGGAAATGACAGGAACGAGGATGAGGAGGAGGAACAGGAGGAGGAGGAGGAGGCGGGGGATCGTGAGGAAGGGCATGGGGGTGCGGAGGGGGAGGGGGAGCAGGAGGATGAGGAGGAGGAGCAGGAGCAGGAGAAGGGAGGGGGCGGAGGAACAGGAGGAGGAGGAGGAGGAGGGCGCTTTGCTCGAAGGTCCTTGACGCGAGCAGAACGTTTGTTCCGAAGTCCAGGACATATATATATATATATATATATATATGTATATATATATATATATTCATAGGGGGTGACTGCGAGGGGGGGGCGGTGGTTGTGTGCGGGGATCGTTGGAAATGCTCACCGTGGCACTATCCTCCAACATGACATGCACTTATGGCCTTGTGTGGCTAAACGCTCGTCTTACATATCCCACTGCCAACTATCCTACAACATATGCACATGTGGGAAGCTCCAAAGCTACCACGGGCTGAAAAGGGGAAGGCCTGGCAGCTGAGGAGGGGGGATGAAGAGGAAGAGGCTCGCATTCAACCATACTCAAAGCTCACTCTGACTCATACGCAATCACTCGCATTAGGGGTCACTCGTCTTCGTCGGCCCTGTCGCCCACGTGGACGCGCTATTGTAGTCGACCGCTCATGGACAGACGCTCACCACGGCATGACATAAAACATGAGATGCACATATGGGGAGCTCCACGCAGTGAGTAATTGTTTTGTTTTTTTTTGGGGGGGGGGTTCTTGTTGTTTCAATGATGGTTCCTATCAATCCTAGGGTCGCTCAAGACCCGAAGATGGGACCCTCTGGGGCCCTGGGATATCTCCTCTGAGCCTTCCAGCCCCACGACTAGGCCCGCCAGGCCTCTCACTAGAAAGCTTGCTCGTTTCCCCGCGCACTCCCCCAGTGCGACCCCCGAGCAAGCTCGCGCCCGAACGGCAACGGAGCATAAGCAAATACACGCCAAGATCAGTCGGATCAACACTCCCGAAACTGAAATGTTGCCTCTGCTCACGATGTCGGGCGACATCTCCTCGATCCCTTCCGGCTTCCTAGGCTAGCAGTCATCGGCCCTGCGGCTGCGGCTGCGAGCGGATGGCCCCGAGCCCCGGGACGGGCGTGATGGAGTCGGCTGATGCCAGCTGCCCATGGACTGGTCGTCATCTGCCGATCTCTCGACAGTCGTGATCTTAGGAGCACGGTCGAACAGGTCCTGCCAGCTCTCTGGGTGATCATTGTCGAGCACCTTGTCGCGCCACAGCGGAAAACTCGCCAGGCTCTCGCAAACGCAGAGCCCGATATCCCCGATCCCGTTGTGGAAGTCGGTCTCCTCGGGCAGGCGCACGGCGCGCGCTGGCTGGTCGACGCCACTCCGACCCGACGCCTGACCGCCTAAGCCCTGGGTCTTGGAGCCCGCCGCGTCGGACGCGAACTGGTCCCAGGCCGGGGGGCGGGGCGAGTTCACCGCGAGCGAACCTCCCTCCAGAGCCGGCGGCGCCTGGTCCTGGGCCAGCGCCATCTGGCACAGGCTCTCCAGCACCTTCACCCGGTCGAAGATGCGGTCCTCGATGGCCGCCGGTGAGTGGATCGTGATGTCCCCCGTGCTCGCGTAGTATGTCATGGTCACCTGAGCCTTGGCCTCCTTGCCCGTCTGCCGGTCGCCCAAGCATTCGGCGCGCACCTGGACCTTGAGGCGGTTGCTGGAGCCCTCGATGGCCCCCTCTGCCGCTTCGGCGATGCTCTCCATGAAGCTCCAGACCCCCTTCGGGTTGTTCTTCGCCTCGACCTTGACCATCTGGTTGTGGCTGGCTGCGCGTGGCAAGCTGCTTCCGTAGAAAGCGTTCGGCAGAGGCATGAGCCAGAACGCTGCTCTCGTCGGACAACTGATAGAGCCCGCTCCGAATACAGCTCCTGAGACGGTCCGCGGGTCCCGCCTTATCTCTCGTGAGACAGTCGGCAATCATAAGCGAAGCCAGACCCCATTTTCAACGTGGCACTCATCCTTCTCGGGCTCTCTTTACTGATAGCTATGTCCACGGCACAGCGCTTGTAATCGCTGCCGGATGGACTTCCCATCGGATCACATTGTCGTATATACTCTTACAGTCGGTCACTGCCAGGCTCTGGAACTCTCCGAGGAATCTAGACCTGTCTAAAGCCTATGAACAGCCCGATCACGAAGAAACGCACGGCCCACTCCAAATGCCCGAGACCGTCCGTCATGACCGAAGACTCCCCAGCCAGAGTAGACTTCACCACCCTCTTCACCCGATAGCTCCTCCAGATCATCGGACTCCACGGCGCCACAAGACCCTTCTCCATGTCCTGATTCGTGACCCCGATGATGTAGCCCCCCTGGGTGTGCCCCATGTTAGACACCTCCTTCGACGAGTAGTCCGAGTGGAAAACGAAAGTGAGCTCTTCGATGGGTATCGATAGATAGCGGATTTCGAGATCGGCGAACTGCTGGGCCCGTCGGGCCAACATGTTTCCTCTCCGAAGGTCACCTACCGTAGGACTCGGCATCTTCTGTTGATTCGAACTCACGAGGATACTGAGATCAGGACGAGTCTGAGCGGCAAGCCAATTACCACGCCGGTTCTGAGAGATGAAGTCTTTTACCTCTGACGGCATGGCGAGGGCATCTGCGCCAGCGTGCCGGCGTGTCGGCACTCGCTCCATCTCCTCATTGGCGTACTGGCGCTGAGACTGCACGATGGTGTAGTCGGAGAGCTGCTGCAGCTTCGAGGCGACGAACTCGCCCTCCTGGTCGTTCCACTTCCAGAATGGAAACTTCGCCTTCAGCTTGGCGATCCACTTCCAGAATGGAACTTCGCCTTCCAGACCCGAGCCCTCGATCGCGCGGTAGTCGCCCAAGTCGAAGTCCACGGTCTCCCCGATGTCCTCGAAGAGCATCATGGCGCATTGGTCAAGAGGGTGTTGCATGAAGCCCAGCTCGTCGGTGATGTACTTGCTGAAGGTAAGCCACCTGAGCTGCGGTTGGTCACTGCGCCCGCAGCCGTTGATCACCTCGCACAGCTGGTCCTCATGCACGCCCTCGGGAAGGAACTCGGACGGCAAGGATACGTAGATTGTCCCGTGCTCGGCGGGGGTGAGACAGGCATCCGTCTCCAAGGAGGCACCCTCCACGTCACCGATGGCCATCGGAAACTTCGCGGAGGCGATGGTCTGCAGCACGAGCGCTCGGCCGTTGGACGACAGCGTCGGTGCCTGAGCCCCCCCGGCCCTCACCAGCCCCAGCAGATCCAGGTCCTTGAAGCCCTGGATGGTCATGCGGCACTTGACCTCGTCCCCCCGCTCCGTCAGCACTCGCCGGGGCTTCAGGATGCGCCCTGGCTTTGTCGATCGCAGCCGGCGCGACTCCTCCAGCGGTCGCGGACGCCACGCCGTGGTTTTGTTGATCATCTTGTCGTACTCCTTGGCGTACCCCTTGGCGAGTTTTCTCGAGCCCCGTCTTGGTCGTCCACTTCGGCTCCTTTCGATTCAGCTCCTTGCGGCCCCGCGCCAGCAGGACCTTCTCTTCGTCCACTGCCAAGATCTCGTCGTCGTCCTCGCTGTCCTCGGCCGCCGCCGCGGCCAAGCCCAACTGCACCTTCGGCTGCTTGACCCGATCCGAAGCCGATGGGGAAGGGCCGCGCTTCACGCCCTGCCTGTGCACGCGGGCGCGCCCCACCTCCTCAGGGGAGGTCTTTCCAGCGAGTCGTCTATGAGGTCTGACGCCGTCCGCCTCTTCTGCGTGTCCTCCAGGTTCCCCGACGTCGCGGTCACCGGCCTAGGCCTCTCCTTCAGCAGCTGGCTCCTGCAGCAGGCCCTCCTCGGCATCCTCGGGGAATGGCGCCTCAGAGGGGTCGACGGGCTGCTGCGCCACGCGTGGTTCGGGGCCTGGACCAGCTAGGACCTCCATGGTGTGGGGGGGGGGGCTCCTGAGTCTGCTCGGCCTCCTCCTCTGCCTCCTCCGGCGGGCGCTCCTCGGCACTGATGTCGTGGTAGTGCTGCGCCTTCATGCTGTCCAGGTCGATGGTGTGCGACCGCAACGAACTCTCGACGAGCCGCCACGCCGCGCGCTCCTCGGAGTTGGCCATCCTCAACTGTTCCGGCGACGCATTCAGAACGCACCCTGGCACGGCGATCCAGTAGTTGCCACGCACCGCACCCATGCACACGCCTGGCCTCCACCTGTAGCGAGCCCTGCGATTCTGCAGACCACCGCCGCCGCCCTTCGTAACCTTCCTCCAGATGGCCACCATGTCCCCTGGCTTGTACGCGATGCGGCGCCGCGGCCTCGCGTCCAGGGCCGCTCGGGTGGCGCGCCGGTCGTTGTAGCTCAACACGTGGCGCCTGGCGATGGCGCGAACCCGAGCCGCGAAGATGGCCGGCGGGTCACGCAGCACCGCGCCGTTCGCAACGATGTCTGGCGAGTCCACCAAGAGTTCCTCGGGGACCTCGGGGTTCCGCCCGAACACGATCTGTGCTGGGCTCTCGCCGCCGACGCTCAAGAGGGAATTCTTCGCCTCCTGGACCTGGGCCACGCACCCCCGCCACTCTCCGCGGTCCTGCGGCTGGACCTCCGCGACCACGGCGCGCAACATCTGGGCGAACCACTGGCCGTGCCGCTCCACCTTCCCGTTCTGCTCCTTGGCGCCTCCGGCCATGTCCAGGATGGCGGTGCTGCCCCGCTCCATGGCGCTGGTGAATGCTTGGGAGATGTGGGGCTTTGCCGGATCCAGTCGAAGCCGCTTCTGTCGCATGTAGGGTCTCGTCCAGTCGTCGCGGTACATGCGGAGCAAGTCGCCCGCCCCCTCCTCATCGCCCTCATTGAATGGCGTCATGGGCTACAACGACGACGCGTCGCAGACAGTGTTCAGCGCCTTGATGGTCTGTTGTGGCAACCACCCTGGAATCTCCTTCACGTCCATGCCGATGGACCGAAGGGGTGGCTGCGCGATATCAGGAGCGGCTGGTCGAACTGGCTTCGGGTCAGCCTTCGCCTCGCACGCATCGCACCAAAACTCCAACGCCATCTTCAGAGCCTCCTTGGTCACGTTGGCATGCCGAAGATGCCCCAGCATGGTCGGCGCTGGGGCGTGACCGAGTTTGACAAACGTCGCAGACTGGCCTCGATGCTCTGGGGCCGACCGTGGAGACGGGGTTCCCTGGGAGCCTCCTTCTCCTCCTGGTCCTCCGTGCCCATCACCTCTGAGACCTTCGTCACCTCCTGCGCGCGCGACCGACTAGCACCGCGAACGAGGGCCTTCACGAGCTGATCCGGGTAGATCTGGGACCACCCCGACCGCTTGACGCCCGCCGCACTGTCGATGACCTCCTGATGCTCGTGACCCCCGAGGCACTGGCGCTCCACCTCCTTCGCAACCTCGGGCATGTCCGACATGAAGCGCCAACGCTTGGCCGGAGGCAATCCTGACGCCAGATCGCCCCTGCCGAAGCCACCTGCCGCAGCTTCCGCCACTTAAGGGGCTTCGTCGATCAAGAAGTTGACCATCTCCGGCAACCCCCATGCTGAACTTGCCCTCGACTGCTCGAAAATGTAACGTCTGCCCCGCATTACCTGCCACGTCGCAATCTCCGAGCACAACACGATAAACGAGATGGCCTCCGCCTTCTCCTCCTTGAACTTCTCCGGGGCCCTCCGCTTCTCATCTGGCGTGAGCCCTTGAAGCGGCGACAACTTCCCGCGGGGCGGCGCCAGCACGACAACGAACGGGTCCTTCTCCGCCAGGTCGCGGAACAGCTGCTCCACGCGCTCGCGCCAGCGAGCGTCCCAGCCCGTCTCCAGGTCGCATAGGCACCGCCGTCTGCGAACCCGAACTCAGCCGCCCCCGCGGTCAGCCTCGGCGGAGAGAAGACCTCTATGATGACTGGCACTCCGTCCCCACCTGCCTGGGCGACTGCCAAGGTAGCGGCTGAAGTCGCAGGGGCCTGAGGGCAGCGGCCCGGCCCTATAAAAATCCAGATCCACGAGTGGAGTCGCCGTCGAGCCGTCGAAGGGAACCTCGTAGTGGCCACCCTTCGTCGTCTGCAACTGCACCCGAGCCCCCAGAGTCCTCATGACGAGCTGATCGTTCTCCATGTCGAGCAGGCATCACATATCCTTCAGCAGCGGCTTGCTCAACAAAAGCCCATCACCTCCTGGAGCCGCGTGCACCTCGACGCACTCCGCTTGCTAGCCGATGGTCCACGGGATGGTGCAGATCCCGATGGAGTGCTGCTCCTCACCGCTGAACCCCTTGAAAGCCACCGCCTGGTGGTCCTTCGCGAGCTCCAGCGGTGGACCTGTCGCCCTCTGGTGCTTCTCCAGCGTCTCCTCACCGATCAGCGCGCGCGCAGCCTGGGTCGATGACGCCCGATCCTGGCGAGTGCACCAGGAGCGCCTCCAACTGCTCGTCGTCGCCCTCGATCTCCTCACTGAGACGCTTGAAGTGGTCCTCCGTCTGGTGCTCGTGCAGCCTCCAGTAGTCCCAGGCCGCCAAGATGTCCTCTATCTCCTCCCACGCGTCTGGCTTGGCCTCCTCATCTGCGGCGTAGGAGCTCTCGACGAAGTGCGTCCCGAACCTCTGGCCGGGTGGTCCACGCGGTCTGGCGCCCCCCCTGCCAGCCCCCTTGGCTTCCCGGGGCACTCCTTACTGAAGTGGCCCACTTGACGGCAGGCCCAGCACCGGACACGCGACGAGAACTTCTTCAGGTCTGGTGCCGGAGGTGGTGGGAGGCCGCGCTTCTTGCGCTCCACAGCGACGGCAGCGCGCGTCTCCTTCCAGATCGCCAGCACCTGGATGGCCTCGTCCTCCTCCAGCGGCTCCGCCCGGTCCTGCTCGACTTCCGCCAGGAAAACGCCCACCTCCTCGGCGCTGTTGAGCTCCTCGACGACCTCTCCACAAGCGGGGCCCCCCTCGACCATGTGCACGCCGTGCTCCGGCAGCATCCTCGGGTAGACCGTCATCAGCGCCTGCGCCAGCTTGTCGAACGTCCACTGGCGCTCGCTGGCCACCAGGGCCACCGCGCGACGATCGCCACCGAGACGAGCCCCTCGCAAGAGGAGGACGCCCTGGGCGACGTCGGGGATCTCGACGCTTTCCTTCTTCGCCTTCAGGAAGATGGTCTGCGCCCGGCCGACGTAGGCACTCGTCAACTCCGCCTTCTCGAGCTTCAGGCCAAACGCGGACTCGAGCGCATCGCCGACCCGGTCGGCCGCCCCCCGCTCGGGGTAGCGCGAGTCCAGCACCTCGAAGAGCCTCTCCTCTCCGTTCTCGACGGCCAGCTCCCCCAGCCCCACGTGCTCCAGCACGCCCGCGGCGATGCCCTCCAGGAGGGTGTAGAGCATGGGCCCGCATGTCTCGGGCATCCCGCCGCGCCCCTTCTCAACCAGGAGCCGTGCTCTCGCCCGCTTCTTCCAAGCCTTGTAGTCCTGCGCTGCGGCGGCGGCTTCCCCCGAGAACTCGCGGCCCCTCATGCCGCCGCCGCCGCCTCCGTGGTCAAACATGATTGTGTTCCGTGAGCTGGTGGCCCAAGCTTGCGTCATTCCTAGGGTCGCTCAAAACCCGAAGATGGGACCCTCCGGGGCCCTGAGATATCTCCTCTGGGCCGTCCGGCCCCTCGACTGGGCCCGCTGGGCCTCTCACGAGAAAGCTTGCTCGTTTTCCCGCGCGCTCCCCCAGTGCGACCCCCGAGCAAGCTTGCGCCCGAACGGCAGCGGAGCAGTGGCAAAGACACGCGAAGATCAATCGGATCAAAAATTCCCCTCCCCCCCCCACTCAAAGGGAAATCCTTGCGCGTCCCGCCTGATGGGAAATCCTTGAATACTCCGCCACAGAAGCGATCCTGATTCATTCCGCAAAAATATAAATTGTTTGTATTATGCCACGCACGGAAGCCTTTTGCACTCGGCCACGGAAAGAATCCTTTTGCATTCCGCCACAAATCATTGTATACTCCGACGCAAACGGAGCTCGCGTAATACAAGAGCATTCGGCTTGTGGCGGGGTCACGCAGGGTTTATATGAGTGGAATGGAAAAAGGTTTTTTGGGGGGCGGTATACACATTGACTGCGTGCGCGGCGGATTGCAGAAACACAAAAATTACGCTATTTCCGGCAACTAGAAAAACACGCTCAAACCACCCGGGCTGGCGTCGTGCCTGGCGCGGGAAGAGGAAGAAGAGGTGGAAGAGGAACAATATAAACGCGACGGCTCAAGCAAACCGGCGTTTGCCCGACGTAAGAGGGGAAGAGGGGGAGGAAGAAAAAGAAAAACGCGACGGATCAAGCAAGCCAGCGTTGCCCCACGCAACAAAGGATGCGGAGGAGGAAAGACGCGACGACTGAAATAAGCCAGCGCTCGTCCAACGCATGAAGGGAGCAGGGAGGTGGGAACGAACAGCGAAAGACGCGACTGTTCAAGCAAGCCAGCGTTTTCCCAGCGCAACAAAGGAGGCCGAGGAGGCAGCGCGCGACGACTGAAATAAGCCAGCGCATGTTCAACTAAAACAAGAGGAAGAGGCATAACAATAAGAAAGACGCGACGGCTCAGGGAAGCCAGCGCTCGTCCAACGCGAAGAGAAGGAGAAGGAGAAGGAGGAAGAAAGACGCGGCGACTCAAGCGGGCCAACGCTTGTCTGGCGCGCACTGGAAGAGGAGGGATGAGAAGCCAAACGCGGCTGCTTAGGCAAGCCAGCGTTTCTCCAACGTGAAAAGTAAGAGGCGGAACATGAAGAGCGACGCGACGGCCCGAGCAAGCCATCGCTTGCACAGCGCGATTTGGAAGAGAGGGGGCAGAAGAAAGACGCGACGGCTCAATCAAGCCACCGCTTGCCAAACGTAAAACGGAGGCGGAGGAGACAGAAAAACGCCGCGACAGCTCAAGCACGCCAACGTTTGTCCAACGCGATGGGGCTGAAGAGATGGACGTAAAGGGGGAATGCGAAAGCGAAGCTCTTTCTGAGGGCGGACGCGCCGAGCGCGGGTCTAAGGCGGACGCGCCCAACCACGGGCGCGGGAGCACCGCGGGCCCCCGCGCCCCCGGGCCAAGACGGCGGCGGGCAGGATGGGTGAGAAACACCATAGGAGAAAACTTACAGTTCGCGCCCGGTGCTCAAGCGAATCCGTCGTGCTGCATATAAAGGACACCGCGCGGGAGAGCGCCACTAACCGCCCCATCACAAAATGTTGTCTGGCTGCCAGGGCGATGAGCTCGCTCGGGTTCGGCAGGCCCCCTGGCTGACGGCCTTAACCCCGCCCCAAAAAGGCGCGCTGGCCCTCCCGCGGCGCCAGCCGCAAAAAGCGCTCAACGGCGCCGGCGGCAAGAATGGGGGCGCCCCCGCCAGAGCGGGGGCGTGGGCGCGAGACAACTATTGAGCGCGACCTCATATCTGCGAGCTGCTCAGACACAGTCTGGGCGAGCCCGCCCACCCTGTCGCCCCGCTCGTTGATGTCGCGCTTCTGATTGCTGACTCCGCGTGGCCCAGCGGCGCAGTCACCTGGGTCAGCTCCTTCTGTCTGCGTGGATGAGCTACGTTGCGCTCTCGGAACGGTCTCCCTGAGTTTCTCGTCGCTGAACTTGGCCACGGCGTGGTCGTATCTAAACTGGCCGTCCATGGTGCCGCGGATTAGCTCTCGGTCGATGCTGCCCTTGGTCGCGGGGTCGGCCCGCGTGCCCCGAGCGTCGCGCCAATGCGCGTCGTCGATCTGCTTCGTGCGAAGCTGGTCGGCGAACCGCCGCATGTGGCCAACCGCGCTGCTCTCGGACGGCGGCCAGGCCAGGCCCGTGAGCAGGGCGCTGAAGACGGACGCGACGTCGATGACAAGTTCTGCCGGCATTGCGTAGCCTCCTTCCCCCCTCAGCCTCCTGATATCCTCGGCAGAGGCCGGGCCATGCGCCATCTCGCGCAACGTAGGGGGGTGCGCCTGCAGGCCGTCGGCAGCGCCGCATGCTGCGAGCAGCTCGGGACCGAGTAAGGATCTGCATGCGAGCTTATGCGATCGGCTCACTGCGCCCAGCAGGTGGCTCACCTGGTTGTCTGTGCGACGGCGCTTGCCCAGGCGCATGAGCACGGCTCCTCTCATGCCGCATCCGGACTCCCCCTCCCTCTTGAATGACTCGTCGCTGTGCGCGCTGAGTCATCCGGCCCGCCCAATGGAGGGGGCAGCGACGCGCGCCTTGATCTTCTGCGCGGCCAGGACAACAGAGTCGAACTGCATGACGTGACGGGCGAGCAGCTTGTTCTTGGATTTCTGCAACGAGATAACGCACGCTGCGACGCGGTGCTGGGCGAGCAGGGCGCAAGCAGGTGTTCCCAAGAGAGGGGGAGAGAAAGAGAGAGAGAGAGAGAGAGAGAGAGAACAAAACAACAAAAAAAAAGAGAGAAAGAGAGAGAGAGAGAGAGAGAGAGAGAGTCCAACATGTCGGGAAGCCAACCTCCGGCTGGCTCGTCAGCCTCTGCCTTGACCAGGTCGACGTGTCTGATCGGTATCAGTCGGTATCAGGGCGCCGATCTAACTTCTCGTCTGGGTCGAGCGTCACGGTGCCATCGGCACTTCGGGGCTGGTGGACTACGCAATTGGTAAAATCGTCGCAACCCCCGTTCATCTTGCCGAAGACGCTCTCGATGTGGCCGATCAGCCGGTCGACGTGCTCCTTTTGCCCGGCAGTCTTCAGATCGCGAGACGCCGGCAGCGCAGCTGCCGGGCATCACGTGCTTGACCTCAAGCTCCAGGCCCCACCTGGCAAGGTTGGCGCTGCGCCCAGGTGAGCGCGTGACCCGGGCGAGCTTCTGGAGAGGATTCTGGGCGCATCCTTGCAGCCCGTGCCCGGCATGATGCAGCGCAGGCACTCGGTCCGCTCGTCGAAGTTCTCGCAGCTAGGCACCTGCCTGAGGGCGGCTGCACTGCCGGGTGGCAGGGTGAAGTTCACATCTCGAGGTGCTCCACTCTGCTCCTTCATCTTGGCATGGGTCATACCTTGCCGGAATGCCTTCACCCCGTCGGGGCGACGCGCCGCCCCCGAGGATAGTAGGCGCTGAGACGCCCGCGTCGCAACCCCAGCGAACGTCTCCAGGGCTCCGGCGCCCATGTCGCGGAAACCCCGCAGCGCCATGCGGCGCCGGGTGATCCCGGCAGCCCCACCGTCTGATTGGTTCCGGCGTTTCCACTTGAAGACACGCATGGAATCCATTGCGTTCCGGGCGCCCGTGAGCGGCCGCCTCTCGAAACGCGTGCATTTGAACCAAATGGTGAGCTCCTCGAGGACGGCTGCTGCGACCACGTTCGACAGCCTCGACATTTCTTCGTTGGACAGAAGGTCGGCGTCGCGCTTGATGACCGCGGTCTCGGCGGCGGCCCACATGTTCAGCGCGGCCGTTTGAGGGGCGTCGACGACGCATGCGCTGAACGCGGCCGTCTGAAGGGTGCCGGCGACAAAGTCGCCAGACGCAGCCTCGTTGACGTACGCGTGTCGGGGCCGCTCGCGTGGCCTGCGGCCTAGGTCTGCAGCGGCGAGCTCGACAGCAGTGGAGATCTTCTGCCGGCGCTCTCCAGCTCCTCGAAATTCTGGGCCAGATCTTCTGCCCCTTCGACTTCGCGCCAGGCTGCCGACATCGCCTGTTAGATGTGGCCGGAGAAGTCACTGTTGGTCTCCTCTGGCATAGCTGACGGCGATCCACTTTCGGTGCTGGCGGTGTCCTTGGTAACTTCGATGACGCAGTCGTCGCCCGTTCCGTCCAGGTCATGTCCGGAGTCTGTCACCACTAGCGGCTCATCTCCCAAGATATACTGGATGACGCGAGCTTCCTTCCAATGCTCGCCGATTTGCTGGCAGGCGTCGAGCCCGACGCCGTCGAGGTGGAATGCTGGACGTGGGCGGGGCTCCGAGGAAACCGCCAGATGGCCAGGCTGCGAGTGCAGCCAGGCAAATTGCCGACGTATTTGCGTCCGCGAATGAGTCGTGCAGCGCGAACGTTTGGCAGCGAAGCATCTGCGGGGCAGGTGTCGCAGGGCTGAGCTGCGCACCCTCGGTGTCCTCCCAGTGGCCGAAGGCCCCGGCCCCGGAGCCCCGTGCCACGCGTGCTCCAGGTTGTCCTCTGCGCGGTCCCAGGCCAGGCCTGCGCGCGCCACGGCGATGCCCATCTCGTCGATTCCGGCACCGATGCAGGCTCGGACGTCCGGAAATCTGCAGACCATCTCGGCTCGGCGGCACTCGACCGCCACCTTGCCTCGCGCCGGATCAACGGAGGTTAGGGCCCGCCCAACCTGACATGTCCTCTGTGGCTGGCGTCCCGTGGATCTCCACCTGGTCGCCCACGTTGCAGCGGCCCCCCCCGGACTCGGCGGCGCGGGCCTCGCTGGGCGCCCCGCCCTGCTCATCTACTTCGAGCGGTCGAGCAGCGGCAGCGTGGGCGTCTGTCGGCCGACAGCGACGTCGCACGGCGCATGATCGCCCGCGCGGGCGAGGCCGTTGCCA